AGCATCATGCCTCAGCCCCCAATATTTTTACCAACTACCAGGTACAGGGAAGACTGATTTAAAAAAAAGCACAAATTTCAGAGGCAGCCAACCTACTTCAAAACTTGACTTTATCCTTTACAAGCCTTTGACAACAAACAAACTACAGTCGCTTAAATTCTGATTTCCCCCTTTGTCAATGGGGTAATTCTGTCTCCTGGGATGGGGTGAGGATGAGATGAAGTGAGCTTCCTCAGCAGGAGTAGCATCTTGGTGTCAGGCAATCCTTACCATTATGCCCCAGGATTTTGTGACAAACCTTCAGTTGCAAGCCAGTGGAATGTACATAGCCCAAATATTGGGGGGGGGGGGCATTTCTAAACAGTTCTTTTGCAGTATAGCCAAAGAATATTTTAAAATCTGTATTGCTGATGAGACACGCTGTTCTTTTCTGATGCTAGGCACATTACATCAAAGCCAAAGCAGTCTAAGTAAGGAACACCATTATGGGGAATACACAGTTACCAATAATTTAATCCCAGATATTCAGTCACCTGACACAAATCGGGTTACATTTTGAGGACCACACTATGCTTAGGTTATATGGAAAATAGCGGGTTCCCAGTTTGTGTGAGCTGGAGTGCTTTTCAAAATCTTATTTTATAATTTACCACAGACTCAATTTCAGCATTTAGCTTGGTTTTCTCTATGTCATCTTGTTTTACTTCGCCTAGAATAATCCTACACTTCAGGACCAGGCCAGCACTCAAGTCATTCTGAGAACAGGCAACAGCTGTGATGTTGGATGTTCATTAAAAATCTTCCTTTTCCTTTCTTCTTGTTGATTTTGAATCTAATTCCAGTTTGCTTGTGTTTGTAAGCTTTTAGCAAACAAAGCAATTGTTTGCTTTTCTTTACGCCAGTCCCACATTCTCCACTCAGGAAAAACAAAAACAAACCCACAAAGGCTAACCTGTGGATAACCTTGGCGTTGGCATCAGCCCCCTGGGGAAGGCTAATCAGCAGTGATAGTTACAAGGCTTAAAAAGGGCGGAAATGGGCTTCGGCTCCTTTTCTTCCAAAGCGTTTATTAGTTTCAGCTCATTTCATTCTCAGACTCCATGAGCAAGAGCAAACGACATTAAAAAAAAAAAAAAAGAAGACCTTCCTCATTTCTTCCTAGTAATACCCCCATTATTGCTAAACTGAGTTATCTGAGTAGTGATTTATCAAATTATTCAAGATATGATTCAACTATGTTACTGCATGTGTCCTTTCAAAAGTCACCATGTGGCTGGCAGCTGAGGTCATGCTGCTCAGAGATGGCTACACACACATGTTCTTTTTTTATTGTGACTGGATGTTTTCAGGTTTATTCTTTCACTGTTTAGCTACAGAAATTTAGAGTGATTCTCCAGTTTAAACATAATGTCACAACTGAAATTACAAAGAGCTAGCAGCTGACATCTGAACGTGACAAGTTTATTAGTTTTCTCTGTTTGCTCGAACTGTCACTTCCACTCGGCGCACCCAGCCTTCTGCAGTATTCTCTGCCTTCCTTTCCACCTTTGCACATCTCCCCCGCCAAGTCAACATGTTTTCCAACTCCCTCGACTTCTTCCTTTCACTACCTATCTAGTCCTTCTCCGGCATATTCTGCAACATTTTCAGATGTTTAGATAACAGGTAAAAATCTAGAGGTCAAACAAAATAATCTAAATACTGAGTCTGATCTGGTATTCCTAATTTTCTGAGGACTACAGTGGTTTAGTTTATCACCTTCTCTAATAGATCAACCATTATGAGCCATGACTGAAATCTGAGGAATCCAGACACATTATAAAAATATCATAAATGGTGTACCTAACCTATAATATTAGTCTGGGATAACTGATTCACCTGTTCCTTAATTCATTCATACAACCCATACTAATATAGTACCAATGTACAAAGGCCTTAAGATTTGGTTAGAATTTAATGCATCAAATATGTGTTGTGGCATGGGAGGTTAAGCTTTTGCTTCAGAAACCTATGTCCTGTATTGCTGTGCCAGGTTCAAGTCCTAGCTATCCTGCTTCCAACCCAGCTCCCTGCTCGTGTGTCATTGAGGAAGACGTGTCGCTGCCAGACACATGGGAGACACAGATGGAACTACTAGCTCCTGGCTTCTGCCTGGCCTACCTTGCATGTTCTGGATACTTAGAAGTGAATCATGAGATGGAAGGTTGGTCTCTATGAATCTGTTACTCTACCTTTCGAATACAGAAAGATCTTTAAAAAAAACAATTTAGTACTTGATTTAAGTTATAAATATACTTTGAAAAAAGATTTATTTATTGGGCCTGGAGTGGTAGCCTAGCAGCTAAAGTCCTCACTTTGCACGTGCCAGGATCCCACATGGGTGCCGGTTCTAGCCCAGCAGGTCCAGCTTCTCATCCAGCTCCCTGCTAGTGGCCTGGAAAGCAGTCGAGGACAGCCAAGGCCTTGGGACCCTGCGCCTGCATGGGAGACCGGGAAGAGGAGCTGGGCTCCTGGCTTTGGATAGGCTCAGCTCTGGCTGTTGTGGTCACTTGGGGAGTGAATCAACGGACAGAAGATCTTCCTCTCTGTCTCTCCTACTCTCTGTATATCTGACTTTCCAAAAAAATAAAATAAATCTTAAAAAAAATTAGCAATGCCCTACTTAGTGTTTTAGTCAAGACAAAGGATATGAAATCCCACAGACTACGTTGGCTTCCTCCTCACACCAATTATTTACTGAAGGAAGGGACTGTTTTCCAGGCTGAGCAGATAGCTTTGGGGATGAAAATTCACTTCCTGGTCCAGAGAATGCTCTTCCTGCCCTAACAGACTAACGTCACATGGATGAGAAGGAAGCACAAGTACTCAAATAGCCGGGTCTAAGTTTTTTACTGAGATCTGTGATCCCACAGTTAAAGCTGCTAATTTTATCCATTCCCTCTTTTCTTCACCACCACACTACTAGTGTGTATGTGGTGTGTGACTCTGTGTGTGTGTGTCCATTTAAAATCTACACAGAGAACGCCAACTCTGGTAAGATTCAACACAAAATTATAACATGTAGGTATTTGGTTAAAAATATTATTATTAAAGGGTAGTTTTAATATTTCTTAAAATATCTCCAAGCAGTTGATGGCAGTTATACAGCTAAAAAAGAGATAGAAGTAATTCTCAGGAAACACATCGTAGCCCAATGCTGGGAAGTAACGGAATTTCATTTCTACTTTTTCCACTTAATTTTTTTCTCTGAAACCAGAGGAAAGCAGTAATTGACAGTAACTGTTCAGTGACTCATGGGGGGACAATGTCCCTGACCACACGAGATTTTTTTCTTCTGTGTTACTTCAATTCAGTAAAATCTCAGTGAGACTAAAAATGACTTCTTTGTGGCCCAGAAAACACAGTAATCTAATAATGCCAGGGGAGCCTGGCTACTTGGGAAGCTTTGTGAAGATGACAACATTGTGAAGAGCATGACAACTATTCTTTCAATGGTCACATGAGAATAGATAAAGTAAACCGATTTGAAAGTAGGTAGAGAAGGAAACACATACAAGCTACTGATTTGCTAGTCTGTGCTACAGGCAACAAGATAGGAGTTCTTCCATACAAACTTTTCTAAAGGACAATTATTTTTCTTTCAAAATAGCCTCTGTTTTTAAATTTTAAAAAATGTATATAAACGGAATACATTTCATACATTTCCTATATTCAGTTTTAAGAGCATAATGATATTTCTAACTTCCCTTTTGCAATTTCACAAAGGCAACACTCTGCCCAGGAGATTTGCTTTCAAGTTATTATTGTTAACATAGCCAAGTGCTGGTAGGAGATGATATGATTTTCCGATACTATTTGTCATGATGTCTGTGGTTTATGGAGAAACTTTAAAGCACAAATGTTTAATTGCCTCCCTCAAGAAAAGCACAATGGGTAACAAAAAAAAAAAAAATGGGTAACATGCCAAAGGTAAGGAAGTTGAAATGTCTGGTTTTAGAATATTGGTCTCACTGTTGAAGTCAAATGTGGATTACCTTACACTATGCCATTGATGTTAATAGCATAACCAAACAATGAAATGATTGGCTACCTTTCATTTTTAAATGATTTAAAATTCTGAGCTAATTTTATATAGATACTTACCTTTCATATGCAGTGAAAATAAACTCAGGTCCTATTTTTAGCCTAGCCTCATATCTAGCTTTACCCACCACCTTTGGATGATTCGAAGACCACTCTCTCAAGCCCCAATTTCTCCTCAAATTTAAATTTTCTGCTAGATACCCCCATGCAGGTATCTCACATACCTTCCAATCCCAAGTATCTCAAACTAAATACTTCTGCTCCTCAAAATCTTAGATTTCTAAAGTACCAACATTAAAAACAAGCACTATAAGAACTCATTCTGCATTCACATCCTCATTGTAGGATGGCATCAGGCCCCGAACACTGTGCTTCCCAGGCGTCTACCCTCTGGGTGTCTTGAGATTGCTGTCCTTCCCTCCATCCTTCCCTCTCTGTATCCAGTGTGCGTTAGTTTGAGCTTTGAATATTTCCCACCAAGGTTTCCATAATCGACATATTCTTTTTCATGCGGGTAGGTTATCAAGCCTTACTTTTTCAGCCAGTCCAGTCAGAAAGTGTTTGCTTGAACTTATCCAAGACTCTTCAGTGCTTTAAAGATAAAAATCAGACAGCTAGTCTGGCCTTCCCCTGCCCTTTGGCTCAACTTCCGTGATTTCCATAAGCGACAACAGGAGGCTCATGTCTCATTTGCTGGTGGATGTATAAAAAGATATCGTCTTCATGTGTGGGAGAGTGATTTGTTCAATGACATTTTAATGAAAATGGGAGATACAATTTTTTAAACCACAACTGTATGTGACACTCTTCTAACCTTAAATAAAAAGCAACTAGAAACAGGTGGAGGGGGAAAAAAAAATGAAATAAAGTAGACAGATTATAGGTATGTAAAAGATTTACATATACAAAATTCTTACCCAATGTTTCCCGGAAAATTATCTTCCAGCCTCTTGCTATATGAAATGAGTCAGTCTTGAATACTAGAAGCATATTATTATTGCTGCTTCTAACATCTGGCGGGGTGTTAGAACCACAGAATTTTCCGAGAAGGGGATCACTGGTGTTAGAACCATCGTAAATCGCCAGGTAGTCATCGGAGCAGAAGGTGGAGAGAGCCACATCAAAGTCACTGAACCTGTGGAATTTACCTGGTTAATATGTTGTCCCTTAAATCATAGGTTTAGCTCTTATAAAATAAAAAAAGAAGACCTCAACTGAGGTACATCATGTAAGCTTCACTTCATAGAAAATATTTGCAACAGACGGATTTAATAATTGGTTAAGAAATTTAGTCAAATTTATTTAGTAACTATGATATGACAAAACTATAATAGGAGCTGGATATTTAAGGCTAAGATGCAATCCCACACTTTAGAGTTGTTTTTTAATTTAGGATTATTCTTGAGTCCATTAGAGATCATATTTTGAGTAACTGAAATAATATTTATTTATCACTCCAGCAACACCAATGGACTTTATTCTCATTAAAAATAAAATACTTATTCTTCTTTAAAGGGGCAACATGCTTCTACTTTCCTATTTTAATTTAAAGGAATGCTAACAGAAGAATTAATGCTGGTTTCACAGTAACAGTTCTATTCTAATTATCTTCCATCTCTTTCAAAATAGTTTATGATAATGTTCAGTATATAAATTCATAAAAACTGTATGTAAAAGCTTTGGTATCGGGCCCGGTGCGGTACCCTAGTGGCTAGAGTATCCCATATGGATGCTGGTTCTATCCCAGTTCTATCCCGCTCAGGGATCCCACATGGGTGCTGGTTCTATCCCGGCAGGCCCGGCTTCCCATCCAGCTCCTTATATTTCCAGAATTGATATTTGAAGTCCCTGGAGTTAAACTACCAGGAGGTAATGATCTTAAGGGCAGAATGTGACCACAGACAAACAAGGGGTTGGCTTATAGGTATGTGTGGTCCCAGCCCACACCTTCTAAATCAAATTCCTTCATTGCCACGACTACAACAGCTTTCTGAACCTCTTACAATACGAGAATTTTCACTATAAAACAGTATTAGAAATGTGCCATTTTAGATAAGAGCAGTCTGGAACTTTATCACTGGAGAAGAGGAGCTTGTATCAACCATCATCGGTTTTGCTGGGAGTAAGAAGAGCCAGGGGGAGAATGTACTAATTATTTAAGATATCTCTTATAACAACAGCATAGAGTAGTTTGAATGCATAACAAGTGTATGTTTCTTGAGTAGTCAGCAAACTTATCCATTGAGAAACAGCACGGGCAAGTACTGAAGACATGCACGGTCCTTGGAAGAATCCTCATATAGATTCAGATTTGCACTTCTCATTTATACGTGTTTAGGACTTGGTAGGGTGAAATAGCTTTCCAAATCATTGCTATGAGAAATACACACACACACACACACACACACACACACACACACACACACACACACTCTCACACACGCACACACATCTAACGTGATTGTTTTAAGAACAAAATAACGACAATTATGGAAATTGCTAATCAGAGTTCCTGTGTAAAATAAATACCCAGCAAAGGAAACTGCTTTCTCATGTCCTCCTATCCTTTTAAATTTCAAAATAGGCGTGCAATTTGATAATCCATTTAATGTTCTGCACCTTTTTTGGGAACTACTGGGGGAATTATGACTGCTTTAATGGGTGGAGGGGGTTTCGCCCCTTGTCACTGCTGGCTTGAGGGAGGGCAGGAGGTCCACACAGAACTCCACTGCTTCCTCTAGACTTCCTTAGAGAACACCAAGAATCGTTGTTCTTCACTAGTCCAGCACTCTCTTAAACATAGTCAGAAGGATTTTCTTAAAATGTAGATCTTTGATACATACTTGATCTGAATCACTCTGTCTTCTCTGACGGTGACGGTATAGAGGCAGTACAGGTTGTTGGGGTAGTCTGTATATGAGTAGGCAGGACTGTTGACGATTCCAGAGGAGAAGTTGTACACACCACCGCAGGCTGCAACAGAAGCCAGCAGAACATACAGAAAAGCATTTACCATGCACAGCAAGAAAAGCTGCTCCTGAGATATTCTACACTGTTGCACATGTTCTCCAAGGAGAGATGGTAACTATTTTTCTGGAACAAATTGAAACTTCCTTTCATCTTGCTTTTACATAATTCAGATTTTTTCCACTGGGAGGGGCAATATGAGATGATAAGAGAGAAGAAAAGGGCAAGAATACTTGAAGGCTTATCTTGGAAAGGAACAAGTCTGGGTGAAGTAATTACCTGATGAAAAAGGATATCTCATGTGTTCAGATGTGATTTCCTTCCTCTACGGCTGAGAGAAAGAGATGGGGAGAGGGAGACAAGAAGAGACAGGAAGAGAGGGAGAGAAAAGACACATCGGGAGGGAGATACATGAATGGCATCTGGGACTTCAGAAAAGCAACCACTATCCAAGGCATTAACTGGAGACTATATTTTATCTATTTGTAGATTAAAGAAGACTGTGATCTCAACATGTCAAAAAAATGCAGATGCAAGTTTGTTCTGTAAGAGACAGAATATTAAAAAGTGAAATACTGAAAATCATCTTTAAAAACTTTAATGCAGTTCCCTCCGTGGGCTCAAAAACATGGCTTTTAAGTCCTAAGTTTTTGTATTCAGTTATGAGGCTGGTAAGAACTACACTTGCCAAGATTTGTATTTCTGATCCTCAACAACCCTGGGAACAAGCCACTCGTCACTGACTTGGCAGTTAACAGCCCAGAGTCCTCAGCTACACTAATGAGTCAATAAAACAATATAAAAATACAAGAAAGCTCCATGAAGAGTGATATAAAATTCTTATTTTTGATGTGGCTTACATATAAGGAGCACAGTATCAAGTGTGCACTCTCACTGCAGTCAGAAAGGCATTTTTTTCTAAAACTATCATGGTGTTATTATACGTTATAGATATTTCTATGGTTTATACTCTATCAATTAAATGCTCTACTCACATCTATTAGGAATAATAAAGATTATGGCTGCCAGTCAAAATTATCATTTATTAATAGCTTATGCCTCAGCTGCATCCACTTGTCCACGGAGGTTTTCCCTGCATGTCCATAATTGTTCATATACTCAGTCCTTTGGGTACACACAAAGTGCACTAAATATCAGCTTTGGATATCCATTACTCAATTTCATTTTGTATAAAGTTTGAGAATTCCAGATAACTTCCATTTTTGCAATTTGATAGGATTTGAAGGCTTAATATCAGAATATTCTTCAATAAAACTCTCATGCTAGATATATTAAATCTTGCAGACTGTTTTTGCAAAATGAAGAATGAAACAGCAGAATAAAAAGCAGAGGTATTGTGAAAGGAAGAAGAAAATTCCACCTTTTTCTTTATTCAATGTGCTGTGAGGAAAGACATGTTTGTTGATTGCTGAGTCCTGTTCTAGTGGTGCCCAAGTCACATGATGTTAAACATTAATTACACTTTATAAATCTTAGGGTTAATATTTAGATATCAGCTAATGTGAACAAATTATTTATTAAACATTATTCTTCTTACTAAGAGCTGACTTGGGGAAATAAAACAGGTATTTGGATAATTCAGGCCAAAAGACAACTTCATGGTAATGTACAAAATACAGACAGCAAGAAAGTTTAATTTAAATGCAATTGACAAAATACATTTCAATTCTCCTTTTGATTTTCAAAGGCTGTTCTAGGAAGAGTTCATTTAAAAGACCTTTTTATGTTCAAATAAAAGTTTAAGTATTTTTGTGCTATAAAAATTAAAACTTTTTCCTCCCTTAAGTCCCTGAATTTTCAAATGGATGATCTGTGAATCACAGTGGAAACTGTTATATGTAAAAGGACATTGCAAACTGTTTTATTATGGTTACTCACAGGTTATGCGATAGGAAAACTTGAATCCAAAATCTGTGATGTGGTCATTGGAGTAGAAGTTCAACAGCACTGGTCCAGTGATGGCGAGGGGAGCCAGGGTCTCAGCACCACACACAGTGGCAGCAGGTGTAGAAGAGAGGCTGTAACCCCTGATGATGTGCACACCGTCATTGGCACAGGTTCCTGAGATGGCAGAGCGAGCTGTGCAGAGCATGGGACAATAAGCATTACAATTGGAAGCAACACAGTCAACACACAAATGAAAATATGATGATCCTGCAATTGATATTGAAATTAGCTTGAGGATTTAACGATTCTGAAAATGGATCTCATTGTTCTAACTATAAACAAGTATACTCCAGATTTCTCCCTTCTCCATAGAAAATTATAAAGTAGAACAAATAAGAAATTAAAAAGACTTCATTACAACTTGTTTAGCTGTTTTTACAGGTAAATATATATTGTTAAAACAACTAGGATCATACTGGGAACAATACTTTGCAGTATAATTTTTATTAACATCATGCATTTTTTTATTAAAGGTATTTCTGAAACACTTAGTAATGCACATATTAATTCCAACACATAGATTGCTATCCTTCGATCAACTGATACCCTATCGCTCAATAATTCTATGTTCTTCATGGTTTGGTGACTAAAAATGTCAAAACAAATATTGTTACACATTAATGTAAATATTTAAGGCAGTTTCTAATTGTTTCATTAGAACAGGTCTTGAGTTTGATTTACTGGCACTGAGATTCTTTTTCATATTCCCATAACATTGTAGATGTTTGACATTCTTCTCAAATCTCACTGTCATTCCATAGAGAAATCTGGTACCCATTAGCAGTCACTCCCAATTTTGTCTTTTCTGTTTGTGCACTCCACGCCCTAGGTAACTGCTTATCTATTTGCTATCTGTATGGATTTGTGTATGCTGGACATTTCACATAAAGAGAATCATATAATAGCTGCGTATTTGTGTATGCTTCTGAGGTTCATCTGCATTTGTAGCAGGTGTCAGTACCTCATTTCTTTTGTGAATATATACTATTCGACTTTAAGGATAGCCACGTCATTTATTGTTATAAATTATAACTCATCAATTCACAGGTAGTTGGTTTCTGTCTACGTTGAGGCTAGTATGAATATCTGTGCTATGAACACTCTTGTGTAAGTGTTTGTAAGGGTCTGTGTTTTCAGCTCTCTTGGATTTATAACCAGAAGTGCAATTTCCAGCTTGATATTAGGGTAGACATTTGACCTAATCAAATTAAAGAAACATAATTTCAAAACATATGTTTGGAATCTGGAGTAGTGATGATAGCCAGTCCATAGATATAACAGCCAAGTCTCTGAAACAGGAAAATAATCCCTGATTTGTAGCATCTGCCAATTGCCACGGAGTAATTATTCTTACCGTAACCAATTTCAAGCTATCAGCATGAGGTAACTAACTGCCGAACTGAGAACAAATGAGAAAACTGACTTCAAAGCTGGTACAAACCAACTCCAGCATACCATTGGAAAGATGCCATATGTCTTCCTAGATTGACAGAAGCACATAACCCCCTGAGAGGATAGTCACCAATATCTGGGAGACCAGGGTGCAGCTCATACTGGAGTAGTACAGAGTAAGAACAGAAACAGTAGAATATGTGATGAGAAATAAAATGCTGGATTAATCATTCTTAAGGAACACTCAACTTTGAGTACTTCCAAAAGTAATAAAGATTGCCTTCTATGCTTAAACAGGTTGAATTACATTTTCTATTAGCTGTGTCATAAAAATTCCTCACTGATAGTGGAACTACTTTATTATTACGATAGTCATCATTGTTGCTATTAGTGTCATCCTCAGGCACTTCTGATAAATTGATTATTCCAAAACATGACATTAGACCCAATCTAAGACAGACAAACATGTTCTAACCATAACTAGTTATGAAAGGGGTCAACAATGCAGGAATCAAAGATTTTGAACTTGGAATATATAGCCATGTTTTCTGACATACGTAGGAGGACATGATGCATTAAGGGGGAAAGATACTGTCATGCAAAAAAAAAAAAAAGGTATTAGAAAGACAATGCATATTCTGGGATTTTGTTCCTGGTTCCCCTTGGTCAAGGAGAGTCCAGGATTCATTTTTCAGATACAGGGACTGTGCTGCTGCTCCTTGCGTGGGTTTATGATGAGGCAGGCCTGACCCAGAGATCCAATCCTGTGGTCTGGAATTAACTACCTCTTTTCCCAGGCAGGAAGCGATGCATCTGTCTTTGCATTGTACTACTTGGAGCTGGAGAAGAGGAGACATAGGCAACTCTTTAGGCTTTTTTCAGTGTGTTTCCTCTCTTACACTAAAATCAATTACTATGCATCTCACCTGGCTTTTGTATCTCTTATGAGGTGACTTGTCAAAACTGGCATCTTCGTAGGGAGATGATTGCTAGAGTGTTTTACTCAGCTACCATCCTGCTCTGCTTCTTCTCATTTTTAATTTGTCCTTTGGAGATATGAAATCATATGCACCTGTACTATAACTTCTGCTTTATATGTAAGCTAACTCAAAAAAAATAAAAACAATCATGTCTTATTTGAAGCAGTGGTTTAAGTGACTGCTTGGAACACCTGTGTCTCATGCTGGAGTGCCACTTTCAAGTCCTGGCTACTCAGCTTTTTTTTTTTTTTTAAAGATTTATTTATTTATTGGAAAGTCAGATATACAGAGAGGAGGAGAGACAGAGAGGAAGATCTTCTGTCTGATGATTCACTCCCCAAGTGAGCACAACGGCCGAAGCCAGGATCCTCCTCCAGGGCATCCCACACGGGTGCAGGGTCCCAAGGTTTTGGGTTGTCCTCGACTGCTTTCCCAGGCCACAAGCAGGGAGCTGGATGGGAAGTGGAGCAGCCGGGATCAGAACCAGCGCCCATATGGGATCCCGGCACATTCAAGGCGAGGACTTTAGCCGCTAGGCCACACCGCCGGGCCCAAGCTGCTCAGCTTTGTAATGTACACACAAGGAGGCAGCAGTAATGGCTCAAGTGTTTGGCTCCACGCCACACTTGTGGCAGACCTACAATGGCGTATGGGGCTCCCAGCTTAAACCTGACTCAATCAAAGCTGTCGCAAGTATTTGGAAAAGGAACCAGTGGATAGAAGGTCTCTTTGTGTCTGTCCCTCTGCTCTTCAAATAAAAATGGGAAAAATATTTAAATAATATTATTGAATATATAAATTAAAAAAAGAATATTATTGAATATATTCTTTTCTATATCTGTACATAGGAGTACCATGCCTTCTCTTTTTGGGCAAGTATCATATTGGAGTAAATTGATGTTTTTATCTGAAAATATGTATGTAGTTTAATTTTTCAGTCATTTTAGAAACATTTGAATCAGTTAAGTTTCTATACAATAAGAAATCCTGAGGTACTAATTTAAGGATTAGGGATGTTTCTAATTCAGCATAAATCTAAGTTAAAATGTGAAAAGCTTAACTTTAATTACCTTATTACATAGTCAGAAAAAATATAATTTTGGAAAATTAGGACAAGAAATAGAATAAAATCAGACTTATGTTTGTAATACATAATGCCAAATCATGCATTTTAATTGTAACTTCAGAATTTATCTTCAAGACATCAAAAGCTCCAATTGCATGTTAAAAATTCAGAATAGATAAGTAGAAGAAAAAAAGTATACCTTAGCTAATGCAATGTTTTCAGTTATGAACAATATACAAAGATGTAAAATAAAAATCACAGAATACAGTAAGTTTTGGGTTTCACATTTACTCAAAAAGCCTGTTACTCGTGTATTCCTCAATTATCTAACAGGTTGTGAAGCTACTGGCCCAAAAAAATGATATAAATAACAACACTGATAATGGGATTATAAATTATTGAGTGGCTGTAGGCCGTAAAGCATGTCTTATGCTTGATTATGTGTTCAAATACTTAGAAACAAACCCAGATTTAATTCTGGACAAGTAATTTATGAAATTACAACATACATATGTATATTAAGTTTATATTTGCATCTTTTAAAATTATTTATTTATTTGAAAAACAGAGCTATATTACAAAAAAAGAAATAGATATTTTCAATCTGCTGGTTTACAAAAAGAATGACTCAGTAATGGTTTTAAAAACATTCCTATTTAACAAAAAAACAAAACTGGTGGCGGGATGCAGAGAAAGTTGAGAGGATATTCAAATTTCTTTTGTAAACGACATGAGTCAAATAGCTAAACAAATTATTTTGTCCACCTACTCATTCTCAAAGCCTGATTCTGCATAATGCAAAAGTTAAAGCATTTGGCAAATTAATTCATGAATTTTAACATTCCTGTATTCTTTCCAATAGTTACTGATTTAAGATAAGATGTCCTTCCAAATATTTTTTGGAAGAAATAAAATATTTATGTAACATCAGAACTTGGTAAAGTTACTTAAAAACATACCAGGGATTAGCAAGAACAGTGCAAGATATGCACTTCATATGCAAGATAATGAAACTTAAATATGTCATTAAACATCAACTAATTTACAGACCTACATATTTTTCTCAGGTTCTATGATATCATATCTCTGCACTAGATCAAAGATATCAGCCTGAATCTCCAGTGAAAGCACAGTTAATTATAAAACACACAGGCATCAAAAAATAAATATATAAAACTCCTTTGATAGTTTCAGGAGGAGTCAACTGCAGACGCAATTTATGTATACCCTAGCCCCCTCTTTTAGAATATTGTTAAATGCAGGATAATGATTTGTTTTCCCCAAGGGAGAAAACAAGTCAAGGTCTTGCTTTGAGGAGTAAGACAGATGTTGAAGTTGAGTATATGGCCAAGAGGCAGCATTCAATCAGTCATGCAAGAACTTGTTAAGAAAAGAAGCACCATGAAATTGAACACAAGTTTACTCCAGAACACAAGCCCACATCATGGGCCAGGAGCTGCAGTCATTCTTCTATCTCCTATGAATAATCTGATAGATATTTACTGCTGAAATCTCTGAACTGTAAAACAACCTTCCATGATCTGTTTTCCATTCTTCTGGAAAGCTTTAAAACAAGTTTGTCATTCGAAATGGTTGAAGTTCTGTGCAATGTATTGACATTGATTTTTTATTTCAATTTACTAGGTTTTTAATACAGTGCAATGTATAATTCTCATTTTCATCATGATTCCACGAACTTTCCGTTTCAAGGACTAAAGATGAAGTAAAACCCTTTGGGTGGGATATTTTAATATTATAGAGTAGGATCAAATGTTTTCAGTAAGGCTGACAAGAGTCCTTGGGAAAGGCTGGTAGAATAGAGAGGACAGATACGCTGCCTGCTGCCGATCTAACTGCGTTTCCTATGTTGTGGCATGGAGATGATGTAATCTGGTAGGAATGATTCAGTGGCTGGAGAAGCATATACTGCTACAAACTCAGCTCTGCCTGATTGAGTAAAATGTCAATATAAAATACTCCTGAAGAACTATTGCATAATAGTTCTTTGGTATCTAAAACCATGCATTGTGAAATGTGTACACATTCTGAATTCTTTAGAAACAATTGCGAAACAGAAGAAACGACAAGTGACTGATTAACATTTTGAAAACAAACTTTAAATGGAGGAACATATGAAACAAAACAACAAAACTCAATCATTGCACTTCTTGATGAAGAAAAAGGACAAAAAAATTCTTAAAATTTCTCAATTTTCCTTTTGGTAGAACCTGTAACACAGGATACATCAGTGACTCAAAGACAATTTAGGCCAATGTGACTACTGTGGATGTAAGTCCCATCACTCCTGGTGCTGGAGATGGTCTATAGAGGACAATGAGCTAAAGCATATCTCCCTTGGGGCCTCTTTGTCAACCTGCCCAATGCTGTTCTACTTGCCAGTGCTTACCAAGAGCTACTCTGGGATCGGAGAAAAACTGAGCTTACAACTGGCCTTTTTAAAATGAAATCTTTCTAAGCCCTTCATTATTGCCAAAGTGAGTCAATGTTATTATCCAAGTAAAAAATCAAGTCACTTGGCTTGCTGAGGTTTACCACACCTGCTAAGTCCTTTATATGCAATGGGAAACAATTAGATTGATACTTTTTTCCAGCAGCTTGAGGTGATCACCCTGGCCACAGGTATAATGAATATGTAAAAATGCATATTTGGACTGTTCAGTATTTTTGAAAACAAAACAAGTACTTATTTCATAATATGTGGTTCCAAAATAAGTACATACACTGATGTCTATGGTCTATGGTTCATGGAAAAGTTAGTATTGTAATGGAAAAATAACAAGAAAGGTAGGGAAACGTAGGCCTATATAAAACAACATACTTTTATAGCAACCCACTTCCTGAGCCTTTGGCATCTCACCATAGAGAAAGCGCCAATGTGCAGTAGAACAATTATTGTATTTCCTTGAATAGCAAAACTTTCCCTAACTATTGTCAGGGTTCAGTGCATAAAATGTTGAAACAAGTGTTTCCCATTGTATTTTGCAGCCTTAGAAATCTGATTCCTGCTTGCCAGCTCTATCTGTTGTACTCAGAATACACCTAGACAACAGTTCTAGATTGTTCATCATCACCAAAGTCAACAATGATTCTGCTGGACTCAGAAATGCTAATCATGGGAAGAGTCTTAGAAACACTTCTTTTTTTCTCATTAAACTGTTATAATGGATCCCAAATTCTGTGACAGGTATTTGGTCAAGTTGTTTCCATTAAAAAAATACTGATTTAAAAAACAAATAACTTAAAACTGCCCGCCCCTCCACAAATGGTCCAGAAAACATTCTTCTTTCCTTCTAAAGTTTTTATGATGCATTGCTATCATTAATCATCTTTCACTATTAAACTTATACAACCAATTGAGACAAACAGTCCTGAGACTGTTGTTCTACCACTCATGAAAACTGGAATGGCAGGTATTAGAGATAATATTCATTTGCCCATCTGAGCTTTCTGGGCAGATATGGTGACTTGCCAGCTCCAGCAGCCTTCTTGGCTGCTTCTTTGATGACACCTATGGCAACTGTCTGTCTTATATCATGGACAGCAAAGTGACTCAGAGGGAGATAGTCAGAGAAGCTGGCTACATGAGCTTGGCAAGAGCTATATCAACAATGGCAGCAACACCAGATTTCAGGAATTAAGGGCCATGAAAACACTTCTAACTGACAGGCGAAGGCCCTTCAACAAAGCTACAGCCTCCACTGAGGGGAATGCTTAGTTTTACCACAACATAATACAAATATAAACCTCAGGCTCATTTTATAAGTGAAGAGAGATATACTTTGTTTCAGTTAATTATTCTCTAGTCTGTGGTCAGAATTCAATAAATGTCAGTGCTGAGATAATTGATGGCAAGAAGATAACTACAAAGTAAATCTGATTAATATTGCCCTTTTTGAGCTTCATCATAATTCATCTATAGCCAGAAATCACTCACTTAAAGGTTTTAAAATGCTTAGTATTTGTAGCACTGTAAATGGAAAATCATGAGGATATCAACTTACCAAAAACTCAGTCTCTTCACCTGGGTGAGGATGAATGGAAGTAGCCATCACTTCCTCTGATATTATCTAACTAGTAAAAGTATTACATAAAGGCCAATAAATAAAGTGCAAGAATAATCTAGAACAAGCTAGAAGTGGAAGTAGAGCCAAGGCTCGAAATTCAAGCACCATGATTTATAATATAAACATGCCAAGCAACATTTTTAAACTACTATAATAAATATTAATTAATTAGCCTGATTTAGCATTTCCACAGTGTTCACATGTATGAACACACCATGTTGCATGCCATTTGTAAACAATTTTGACATATCAATCAATCAATTAAAATACTCATAAGCTTACCTTCCAAATGAAAAGACACAGAAGTCAAGAGGACCAGAGAGTGAAGATCGCTTTGTATGAGATAGGTGCAGTTCATGTTGTTGTCATATTGTTTTGGGTAGTTGGGAGAAATTATATAACCAGACTGGTCAGTAAAAGTACCTCCACATCCTGGGTGGGAACAAGAGAGCATCACTGGAACATTTGTTCTCACATGTAGCACCTGGTTCATCAGTGAAAGGGGCAATGGCATGAATTCTTTAGATTTGCGCTTCTCTGAGGAAGGAATGGTAACTAAGAGAATGAGACTAAAAGCAAGCATTCATGCACAGTAAGAACATTATATATTCTCTCTATATATATTCTCTCTATATAGATATATATGCACACTCGTGTGTATTTGTGTGTACTTAGAAAACACTGCAGAATCTTAGATGCTAAGCAACAGAAATTTTACCACATATATACTAAAAAATTCCTTAATATTAAGAAGTAAGAGGTAAGTTATCAAAGACTGAATATTTTTCTTGTACATTGAAAAAAAACCAATGAAGGGTGAATTTCAAAAGGTGAATTTAAAACTGGGTTATTTTAGATTTAGTGTTATCATGCCATAAGAACAATACTAGTCACTTTTACAAAACAGTCACAGTTATCAATCCCAACTCTTAATAAATTCTTATGAATTCCCAGGGACAGAAATCAAAAGAAATATCTCTTTACCATTAAATTGACACTTATTTTTCACATAACCTTTGATCACTAATTCAAATCACTCCCTTAATCTATCAAGCATCAAAGCACCTGTATCCTTTCACACTTAGACACATACAGTTATACATACAGCAAATCAGCTGGTATCCTAAGAATAGGTCTGGCATTTGTTTCATTACTTCCTTTCCACCATCTTCATTCACTTTATTTATGCCTATAATACATTTTCTGTACCATTTTTCTCTAACTCTTTTTATTGAACCATTTCTCAAGCAGCAGTTTGCTAGTAGATGCAATTTAATCTAATTCAGCCAATTGTCACCATTCATTGCTTCCCAAATTTGAGTATTCCCTACTTTTTCACCAAAACTAATCTGCATTTAACAGTCATAGTAGTGGACTCAGCATTTAGCTAGGCAAGGAACCTCCCCCAGCCTGCCACCAAAAATAAATAAATAAATAAAATGATCCCATGGAAATTCTGAATTAGATGAGTCTTGGGTGAGGCTCAAGATTGTTCATGTTTTCCAAGCCCTTTTACCATGTAATCTTAATGCAGGTGGCCAATATGCCCAAAACAAGACACAGGAATTGCTGACCACTCTCCAGCTGAGCTTGGGTTGAACCTGCCCCACTCTAATGTTCATCGCCTTCTCAGACACTGGCTGATGGTGATCATGCCTTGTATATCATTTCTCCATTGGACAATTGCTGAATTCAATTTCATTCTCATGGTGTTACTGGTTTTTAAAGAAAGGGTGTCTCCTCTGGATTAGGTTACCCACCCATGCTCCTCTGCCTTAATCTCCCTAGCTCAGGCCAATTTGTAGCCCTCTCATCATTTTCCCATGCTTGGGCCACAGCCTTCCAACAACCCCTTGTTTTTTGTGCTACTTACGGCTTACAAATGTGGCAGAGAAGCCTGGAGCAGGTGTATCCTGAGATTGGAAGACAGCAGTGAATGCATTTCTTGGTGTGATGATGGAACCTGGAGCCACATTCCCACAGTTTGTGGCTAACAGGGTACTGTCAATCTCCTCAGTTCCTGCCCACACCTAGCAGGATCATAAACACACGTCAGTTTTTGTAGTTCCCTCTGATAATACTTTAACGTGCTTAGGCTCGAATATATATATATATATGTATGTATATATATATGTGTCTATATATATATAGTAGAAACATAACTAAATAAAACACATGGAAATTTGGAATATTCTTTTTTGAGAATACCTTTGTTTTAAAGCTTTTTTTTTAATTCCATAGCATATCCCATTATGACTGCTCTAAGACATATGAATTTTGGGGGCCAAAGGCAAGTTTTTAAGCTCATTAACATATTTGAGAGGCAGAGTTAGAGAGAGAAAGAGAGAGAGAGAGAGAGAGAGAGAGAGAGAGAGAGAGAGAGAGAGGCAGTTTTTTTTATTCTCTAGTTTACTTTCCAAACGGCCAAAACAGTTAGAACTGGTCTGGTCTGAAGAAATTCAAAGATTTTTTAAAAACTCGATGATTCTGCAGCTGAGCTTGCAGATACCGAGGAGCCAGCAGTAACGTGTACTCCTCTAGGGCTCAGCATGGATCCGCGGAGGATGACTAGCTGTGGGCCACAGCTAGAGGTACACGAAGTTAATTATGGAACATGGAGAAAGTGAACACAAATGCCAATGACATGTGCAATTAGTATGACTAGAATTAATCTTAGAACACTTCATGCAAGTGTTGAATTTTAAGAATTTTTTTACAAGAAGGGATGATACTCTGTCATTAGGTGCTATTCACCAAACACTGGCTTGGCAATTTCTGAGTAATCCTGGGTTGTCATTTCATAGCTCTAGCTGCATTGTAGGGATTAATTTGTACAATGCTATGCAAAAATAATAATGTTGAGTCACTCAAGGAAAATATCCAAATTAGGTAATGAATATGAATAAATTAGAAATAAAAGACCACTAAACAAATTAACTAATTTAAATTTTCCTAATTTGCTGGATCTCAACAAGAAACAATTTTGCCTTCTTCGGTGGCATTTTTTTGAGGACACACTGGGAGAGTGGGTAATATCTAGAACAGATGAGCCAGGGATGTTGCTAAATATCCTATAAGGCATAGAATATCCTCTGCCATCATCCACACACGTCAGATTTATCATTCTTACTTCACCATTGAGTCTTTTATACATATAAAATTATACAAAATTACTCATCCCAAACATATCTCTCTTAAGAATATTTTTGAAATAATAATGAAGCACCAAGCCATTAAAAACATTTCAACTGGGAAGTCAGCCCTTAGGAAGAAATACCAAACAGCAGTGGTTCACAGCAGTAATGTAATGCTTCTCAGCTCTTTAAAGCCACTTCATTTCAACTGGCTTCGAAACTTTGGGTATCAAGCTGTTAGTCATCTTGCTGAAGAAAAATTATATTTCCCATTTATTTTATAGGAAATGCCTGGCACTAGAGTAACTGAGAACAAAAGCACAAATATTCTGTTAGATGCCTAAAATCAAGGAAAATGTTAGGAAAGAAATGCATACCCACAATTTCATCCAATGGCCCCATTAAATTTTCTCCTCCTTAATGAACTATTTGGGAAAGTTGTCTATTTTCTAATCAGATTTTTTAAAAAAAATTATAAACACAATTTACTGAGAGATAGGGATTGGCAAATACTATTTTTTAAAACATTACTTAATAGAAAAAAGGAATAACATAAAAGTTTTAATGACAAATCTATGGTTCTTTAATGAAAAACTTTTATCAATTAGTAAGAAAATTATTATTATTAACTGATTATTTTATTTATTATTTAATAATGTTTTATGTCATGGCACTTCAATATCCTTGGTATATAATTCTAGTATCTGACCATCTTAGTGAAGAGATTTGTCATTTCTAATTCAAGTGTTCATATTCTTGGTTGTTTCTGTGATGGATTCTTTTTGGAAAAAATGAATATTTTATGTATTATGTTAGGAGTCTCTGAGTGGATCTGGTTTGAAATTTTATTTTAGTAGGAAGTAACTGTTTACATTAAGCATGTGCTCTTTCATATTTTGTGGGCTATAGTTACAACTGGTTTGCATGATGCTATTGAGGCTCCCACTAGTATTGGCTGGTGCTACCGGAAGAGATGGAGTGCACATCACCTGTTGGCCCCCTGCGTATTTCTAAGTTGAAGGCAACAGGCCTAGGAGGATATTCCATTCAATAGCAGCTGGTTGCCCCACTGTGTCTGGGTGGGGAAAGAGCATGTTTGGCTTGTGCACACTAAGATGCTTTTCAGACAGTGCCATCTTTGTGGTTCTACCATCTTTGCCCATGCTGTATATCCACTACAGAGTCTGTAAGCCAGTGAAGTGAGTCCCAGCGCAGTAGGGACAAACAGAATTTCTGGAGTGGCAAAGAATTTGCAACTATGTGCCTTTTTTTTTTTTTTTTTGAGGGCATGGCTGCTTGAATGTTCCTGGGCAGATAATGAGAATCTCAGGCTCACAGGCACAGAACTTTCCATACCAGCCTGGAGCTGGGTCCCTTTACTGCCATCTGCCCATCCACACAGCATTTCCTGGCAGAAAGAAAAGCCATGGGCGCAGCAGAAAGAATGCTCCCTTGAGCCACTTATGTTTCGGCAGATGTCCATGCGATTCCGCCCGCCCAGCTGTTGGGATTGCCTGAACTGTCAGAGACTCGATTATGCCGAGGAGGAATGAGTCTACGATATTTTTCAATATTCCATTTTACAACTAGAGAACTAGAAAGATTTTTGGACACTTGATATTGATTAATTTCATGAGAAGACAGTGCATTTATTCTTGGAAAAAGCAATTAGCAATAGTATATATTAAACACGTCTTGTAAGGTACATATTTTATGTAAGTGTCGGACTTTTTAAGATAGTAAATAAGATAACAATGAGATAAAATGTAATTGGAGAGATGATATGAAGCAATAATATAATTGATAACAGAATCTACTTATACTCACTAGAGCTTTTTAAATTCCAAGCACTGAATATTATTTACATTATTGTATCATCTCTAATGCCTAAATGACTACTATATCACGAGTCATTATCTTACTTTTATAGTTTAATAGCTTGAAGTTCAAACATCTGAAGAATGATAAAATAAGGTGCCAAGTATGAAATATACAAATGGAGTTTAGGTTAATGTGTTCTTAAGGTCAATGTCCTTTTCACTAAAAGACATGGATTCTTAGAGACACAATATATAAAATGTAAATCAGCATAGGTAAAATTAAACGATAATAGTCAAAAGCCAATTGAAAGTAGTAAGTCAGTGCCATAGGAGCAATAGTTGCACTTTTAGTAATTGGTAAACAATAGTTTCCACCTTTTGAGGAAAACATTCTTATTGACTGCCTACTGTCATCATTTTTACATGGGTCTTTTGTGTTTTTTCAGCTTAAGGGCTTTTAAAATCCAAGAAGAAATTTGGCATTGTCTACTTCTTCAAGCTTCTGTAATTTTTATGATACACATCTAACTTTTCCTGTGATGGTGCTTTACATTATAAAGAACACTTATCCTTTAGGATCTATTAGGACATAAAATAGAGAGAAAAGCAAGCAAGCAAATTGGTCTTCCTTATTCAATTTCCACAGAATAGAAGAATTATAAAATTAAAGAAAATCATGAAAATTAAAGAAGGCTAGAGAACAATCGCTTTAACAGGTTTACTTGGTCTAGGAATTGGCAAAGATACAAAAATCACACAGTAATACATGTGTTTTGGTTCAAATTTTAACTATCAGTTGAGGTTTCTTACTTTTGTCTTTTTAATTTAAGAAATCCAACTAACAAATCTGTCATTTTCTTACTTTGACAAACGACTTCATGTCATTTGTAGCTTAAACATTTAGATTCACAAAACCAGTTTGGCTCCAATTAAATAAACAAGTGCACTGACCTTCACAAAGCTGTTCTGACACTGTCCATCACCACTGGGGATTCGGAAGTTGCTGTCAAAACCAATCTCAAAGTATTTACTTTCATGAGTAATGACTGTCCAAGAACATCTGCTATTTTCAGGAAAATTCTGAGGCCAGTGTGGAGATTTTATTATACCATTTTCTGAATGAATTATTCCACCACAACCTAGAAAGTTATCATGGAAAAAGTCACCAATATGTAGGAAAAGAACAATTTTTGACATCCAAGACTTCAAGAGAAATATGATTTCTAAATGTGAGATCCCAGCGCTGTCTCAGTTTTAAGGCAGGTCCACAGGTGTGAGCACTCATTAAATGTAAAGTACATTAACACTAGAGGAAACCAGCTGTTACTATTTTGTCACACCTGTATGGAACTCAAGTAAGATTGCCAATCCTCTGTCGTTGAACAACAGCAATACTTTTTTACTCTCCTAGAAACAGTGAAATGTTTCCAAGTCTTGCAATGCAAAGTTATGTATCCTGTTATTATCAATAAATAAATACTCATTAGTTTAACATATGAGACTAGACAAGTTATTTTGAGTAGAGAAAAGTTCTTCTTTTAAATAACCTAGTTTGTTTATCCTGAAACTGACTGGTAGATGATAATAAAACACCAAAATTTCAAGGGAGATAAACCTATGATACTTTTCTTACTTTTAAAATATTACTTAAGAAATTTTAAAAATATGAATTCAAAACAAAATGAAGTTAAATTAGAGAAAATTATCAGTCTTTCACTTTTATTTTTTTTTTTGGAAACTTTAAAATTTCCATGTATCTTCAAAAGCAGTTAATGTTTTAATGATAGCAAGTATAAGTCATTAATAATGCTGACTCTACTAGAAAGAATTATTCTGTGTGATATTTATGATGTACTGAAATCTTGAATAAAATATCTCATATATACTACAACCTTTTTTCTAAATGGCAGATCTCACTTTTCATTTTCCTTCTCCAAACATCAGTTACTTCCCATTGTGACCCCAAGACCAAGATATTTTGAGTTACTTGTGATTTCAGTACATATTTCTTTTTTGTCTTTTAAGTTGTTGTTATTTTCCAACACGTAGTTTGTAGATATAGTGATTCCTCTCCCCATTTCCTCCTTTCCTTCCCATTTTCCTCTCCCACCATTTTCCTCATACTATCATGGTAGTACAGTCCTGTGGTAACAGTTACAAGCTTAACATCTTGCTATTTAAGTTTAACATGGCATTATAGGTATAAGTAAAGGTATAAGTAAACCTAGTGTCACATTGTCAAGGTATATTCCTGCTTTTATTTGGAATTATAGTTGCCTACTGCAACATATCTTCACTTCTTGGTTTGCTAATCTCCTTTGTACAGTTCATTTGTTTTGTGATTTGCATGAAAGTTGTCTTAAATCAGAAAGAATGCATACATCTCTTACTGAGATTTCCTGGTTGCGCCATTCCCTTTGTCTACACAGGGTACTTCGTGAAATGTTAACATAAAAATGTCTTGGCTCAAATATGGCTTTATTTAAACTCTGATGACCAGCTGTCGGCTAAAACCCATGCAAATTATCAACCCATTTATCCTCTGTTTCTGTGTGTGCACAATCGAGAAGATATATATTGCTATTGTTATGCCACCAGCATTACTTCATGGTATGATATGTATAAACATTCAGGGGTTAATCCAATATGAAGTAGGTACAACATGTAAGAGAAGGAATAATGAACCCTATGTTCATTCAAACAAGTACAGACTGTTTTTCCTTATTACTTCTCACTTAAACTGCATGTAGTCTAATGCCATAGGATAGCAGATAAAGCCACTGCCTGCAGCACTGGCACACCATCTGAGTGTTGGTCAGTGTCTCAGCTTCTTCACTTATGATCCAGCCCCTGTCAATGGCCTAGGAAAGCAGCAGAGGACGGCCCAAGCGCTGGGGTCCCTGTACCCATGTGGGAGACCCAGAAGTTTTCAGTTTCTGGCTCTGGACTGGCTCAGCTCTGATCATGTGGCCAACTGAGGAGTGAACCAGTGGAAGAAAGATCTCTCTCTCTCTCTGTAACTCTCATTTTCAAGTAAATAAATAAATTTCTTCATTAAAACAAATATTAAAAATTGCATATGTAACAAGTGTTCACATTGTATTTGATATGATAAGTAATATAGAGATAATTTCAAGAGTATGAAAAGAAATATGTAGGCTATATGAAAATATTATACCTTCTTGCATAAGGGAGTTGAATATGCACATACTTTGCTATCTATAAAAGCCTTGGAACCAATGCCCTTTCAGATTCCAATAGATGATGGTACTTTAAATCAGGTTATAGTGATACATATAGAAACATTTAAAAGACAATACAGAGGTTTCTTTTACCTAATGTGTGTGTGTTCCATGTAGCATAAAATCCACCATGTTGCACCGACTGGTCTGAATTAAAAATCACCACCAATTGATTGGAACCAGACTGTATTGTCCCAGGGTTTAAATTCCCACAATATTGTCCTATTATGGGTGATCCAGGGGAGCCACCATTCCTGACAGTCACAGAATCCCAGGCACAAGTCACATGACTTTCAATTTCAAAGTCAATAAACGTCAGCTGAAGAAGGAAGAAGAAAGAATGAGGCATATAATGAGTAGTAAGTGAGCATATCAACCTTCAGGCAGATGTAAGACTCTTACACATCTTTTTACTTCAGTTTAATTCATACAATTTCATATTTTAAATTAACTTTCTCCTTCCCTCCTCCTTTTTATTGTTGAAATTTCTCTTGAATAAAATTGAGAGGAAGTATTTCTCCTGGAAGTGGAGTCATCAGGGGAATCCATTTAGTTGCCTGGGCTAGGATAGCAACTCATAGCAAGGACAGGAATCTGTTCCTCTCCTGGATGCGAGATGATCTCCCATGCCTGGTCTCTTCTAATCTTGAAAAATAGCTTCATTCATTGTAAATTACTGATAGCAGCAGTGTTACCTAGGGCAATGTGTGAATAGCCAAGTTAAATTTCCAATCCTACCCTCATAGGTCGCTCTTTGAGAACAAGATACCTGTGATCACAAGCTTTTCAGAATCACACAGAATCACCCTGACCCAATACAGAGAGACCACCAGAAGGCTTCATTTCTGACTGTGCTAAATGACTTAACCAACAGCACCACAGCATGCTGACGTTATCATGAAAATGGCTCAAAGACTTCACAAAAGGAACTTTAAAAAGCTCTACATGCAGATTCAGAGAAATCTTGACATATTCCAAGGAAAAACCATAAGCATTTCTCCCACTCATTAGCATGTTCCACCCCCTCATTCTTTGTGCATTATACTGAAACAACAGCCAACAGTAGGTTGTAAAATAGATCTGAGAGCTAGGTAGGCTCCCATTTATAAATATTTGGCCAAAAATTCTTGCTTATTCTCTTTTTCGGTAATGTTATTGGCTTTTTAACACAGAATGGAAGACCCTAGCCTGTGATCCCTCTGCATAATGGACAGAGGTGGGGAGGTGTGCAGCATTATGCTGATAACAGCATCTGTGCTATCATAAGAGAATTGCAGAGAGAAATAATGATCACATTGCAGGACCAAAGGGCACTGTAATTCCTTGCTTACTAAGTAAGACCTCTGTTTCCATGCTGGTCTCAGAGGTACGGCACTCAGGCATCAGCACTCACATTGATGGTGTGCCCTTGGGGGCTCTCCAACAACCAAGCACAATGAGAGGAGACACCATAATCCTGTGGGTAGTTGGGACTGGTTATCACTCCGCTCTCGCCTGTCTGTATTCCGCCACAATCTGAAATCAGATTTATATCCCTTAAGTAAGAGAAGGAGAGCATTCTGAGCAAAGCTAAAGCAGTATGCAGAGCCATCATACTTTATGATAAATATACAGTCAATGAACTGATAAAGAAGCAAAATGAAGTTGGGCAGAATAAAAACAATCCAAGTCCCATATTTTGCTAACAGAATCACATAGTGAAGACAGGCCTCCGTTACAAAGGAAATGGAAAATCTGTGTCATAAGTGGAGGACAATCAGGTACAGCTATAACTGAGACAGTAGGGACAAAGTAAGAAACATTGCCTTTTCTGAAAAAACTAGGCCAATGAATAAGTGTAATCTTGAATAATATGATCAGCCTTGTGATTAAATAAACAGTCATTTGATAATAAGCAGATACTAAATACACCTTAGGACAGAAAGCTGAAAACTTATACCTGAATAAAGTACAATATACCCTGTTTCCTGAAACTTGGCTCTTCATTCTGTTTGATAAAACTGGTAAGATGGCTGATATAGTGAAAATAATCACTCCCCTTCCTTCAGCTAACTAATTGGTTGTACCACTACGGAATGACAGATAAAATTGTAACCAAGTCATATGAGCAAACTTAACACAAAAAGGGGACTCTCCCAAACTCTTAATCAATAGTTCACTCAGTTTCAGAGGGTAATCTCAATACAGAAGCGCAGAGCAGTCTGAGAGGGCAAGGAGCCAAGCTCTGTGTGCTAGGGTTGGCTTTTGAAATTTTAGTGACCAGGCAGGAAGAAAAGATACAGCCTTCAATTTCCACAAAAGCAAAGGTTACAACAGTAATTTTCTTATAAAGTTGGAAATGTAAAAGGGTTGCAATGTTAGTGAACAAGGACTAGAAAAACTCTCATTCACTATCAAGGGAAGTAGCAAGGACAGCACTGTATATCTTGGGCCAAATGTTCAGGCACTAACCCTGAGTGACACAGACGCAAATCCAACATAACATAGTGGCAAATCATGTGCAATAATATGAACCAGACATATGTCATGACTAACTAGGGTTTATTCTGAAAATTTTAGAATGAACTCCCAAAGGAAAAAAAATTTCCATATAACATACTTTCATAATTCAATATAATCTGCATACTAGCTTATGAAAGGAAGGAAAGCAGGATCATCTTGATGCAGAAAAACATGATGAAACCTTGACATCCATTCATGTTAGATTATTTTTTACACTAAGAATGAAGAGACTTTTATTTGACAAGGGATGTTCATTCAAAACTTAAGAGCAACCAAACAATGAAATTTCATAGGAATCTGTTGGTTTATTTATCTTGATGGTGACCCCAAGCAGTGAAGTAAAAATAAGAAAAAGAAATGAAATACTGGAACTGAAGGAAGGAAGAGCTATCATTTGCAGAAGACAGAAAAACCAAAGAAAACCAGAGATAAAATATTAGGAGAATAAAATTGTATACAAATTATAAATTCTGAGACATCATCAACAAAATCAAATGTAATTTGTAAAATCTCATTGGTAACAGCAAGAAACTTAATAGCTTCCTAGGAATAAGTCTAAGAAAAAATACATGAAATCCTTACGAGAAATTGAGAAAGTGTTATATATTATTTTAATGGAGGTCTTAACTATAAATCTTACCTGTAAAGAAATACTCTGCATGGAATCCAATCTGTTCTACATGTTCATTGGTGACAAAGTGTACCCAGACCTGAGGGTAAGGTATAACCAATGGGATGGCAGGTTTTGTAGGGCCACAGAATTTCCCTATAAGAGGCCCATCAGCATCACCTGTACAAAATAATACAAGCATCACTATTTATACAGCTATTAAGAAGCATATTTAATTCGGTAGAAACAAATAATTAAGAAATTAAAGTTATTCATAAATACAGATATATATGTATATTCCGATAATATAAAGAGCAGATATTATATGAGGTTTTTGTTTTTGTTTTTTACTATCTTAATCAACACAAAAGATGAAGTTCCTGTGATAGGGTAAAACAAAAACCAAAACAAAATGTTATTTTGATTGTACTTCTTGCTGCTGTAGTGTCATTCTGTTCCACTTCGTATTTCCATAGCTACTTCAACATGTCTGAACAGATACAATTTTACAAGAAAAGTTGAAATTTTGTAGGGACTAAAAAACAAAATACCATTAGTAATAAAATATATTCTTAAAATAAAAGTGATAATTGCCCCCCCCATTGGATTTCTCAGCTGTATTCAACCGTCTAAATTACAAAGAATATTTAGTACTCAGGTCAAGAACAGATTTGAGCACACATTTTTTTATGAAGATTTCTTTGAACAGAAAAGTGGTTAACGTTTATAGGGTATCTACAGAATTTGCACTTCACTGCTATTCTTTTGTCAGATCAACATCACTATCCTTGTAAGTCACTGAAATATACAGCTTTCCACTGTCTCTAAATCTGACAGAAGGAAGGGAAAGCGTGCCTCACTCACTGGAATGTAATAAAGAACTGTGTGCTGGATTCTATAAGCCAGTGGTTTCTAATCAGGTACAGGTAATGGGGACTTAGCACAATTTCATGGACATTTATCAAATGACAACTGCCATTTCCCTAAAAAGTGTTTTTTAGGTTAATCAACTTCAAAGAACCAGAACGATTATCTTGCTGAGGCCTTTGGTCTGTGTTCACAGACTGTCAAATTCTCCTTGAGAATTTTCCCACATTCTTAAAGGTGGCTGCCATCAGTGTGCTGAAGTACATCTCCACCTCTTAACTAATTACTTGCTGCTGATTTCAGATTTCTTTTCTTTAAATTTAGGCTAAGAAATTAAGTCAGTAAATCTTTAGCTATTATAAAAGTACTATTTACAAAAGTATATTCCTCTTCCACATGTTCACATTTACTAAGAAACAAGTGTGACTGTTAACTAATAATGGGAGCAGTCAATGAGAAAGAACTAAATTAATTACCACAAACACCGAGAAATTCTCAAAAGAATCCTGGCTTACAAAGTGTACACCTCAATCATTTTTCTATCATGAAAACAGACAAAGTGGTCTAGGGAGAGTTTTCTAAATTAGCTGAATATCTATACATATAAATATAAATAAGCTAAATAGTTTCCATGTGTTTCTCCACTAGGCACATTGCACCATTTTTTCAACTTCTTTTTTATGATAAAACAATGTACTTCATTACTGTATTTGGATGACAGCATTGTTCTTTTCTTTTTGTCTTTAAAAATTTATTTATTTATTTGTGCTACAATTCCATAGGCTCTGCGATTTTTCCTCACTCCTCCCCAAATTCCCTCCTCCTGTATTGATTTCAACAGTACAATTCTTCATAAATAGCCATAGGTCCATCATTCTGCTATTTAAGTATGGACAACAGCAGAGTCCAGCAACCTATTATCAGGATACATTTAATAGTTTCACTGGAAGTCCATCTTTGATTTGGAAGTAGAGATGCATACTGCAATGTATCTTCCCATCTGGATATGATAGTCTCTAATACACAGTTACTATACATTCCCTTAAATGAAAAGTCATAAAGTAAAATAAACAACAAGAAGAAAAATAGAAAATTTACAACAACCTGAAGTTAAATAACATGCTACTGAATGACCAATGTGTCACTGAAGAAATGAAAATCAAAAACTTTCTCGGAGAAAACAATACTACTGTATCACCCATATGTCGCTGAAGAAATCAATAAGAAAAAAAGACTTTGTTGAGGAAATGAAAATAAAAACAAAAATGTCAAAATCCATGATATGTAACAAAAGCAGCATTGAAAGGGACATTCATAACATTAGGAGCTTATAAAAATCAAAATATCTCAAATAAATGACATAATCATGCATATCAAGGATCTACTAATAAAGAAAAACGAAGAGGAAGCAAGAAATGATAAAAACCACAGCAAAAATAATTAGAATTGAAGCTAAAAAAATACAAACTGCAAAGAGGAATACTTTAAGAAGATGAACTAAACAAACAAAAAACTTTTAATCAGACTAGCAAACAAAAAGCATAGAGAGAAACCAAGTAAAATCAAAGATGAAAAAGAAAGTATCTTACTACCTAGTAACCTGATCTTTGGATCCTTTGATCAATATGTGGTAATTTTTTTCATCTCTTAAGTATTTTCATGGGAAGTCTATATTATCTGTTGTAACAGTGGCTACACCAGCTCCACTTTTTCCCCATTAGCCTGGAATCTCTTTATCCATCCTTTCACTTTCAGTTTCCACCTATCTTTGTTGGTGAGATGTGTCACCTCTAGGCTTTGATCCAGTCCACTAATCTATGATGTCTGATTGATCAGTTTAATCCATTTATATTCTTGGTTAATATTGATAGGCAGTCTTTTTGTCCTGCTACTTCAGCAATGTTTTGTTCATTTTTTGATTCATTTTTGCCTTGTGGTTTTATTGGGACATTCTCTATTTTTGCCTTTGGTTTTAGTAGGTGCTATTCCTTTTCTCTGTCAAGAGAGCAACTTTAAGTCTCTTTTGTAGGGCATATCTGCATTTGATCTAGCCAAAAGGTTGAGAAGCAATGTAGGATATATCTGGAAGAGGTGAACTCTTTGAGGTTTTCATTACTGGGCAAGTTATTCTGGGCTGACAATTTTTTCCTTTTAGTCTGGAATATTTCACTCCGTTCTCTTTTGGCCTGTAGAACTTCCTCTAACAGGTCAGCTGTGAGTTTGACTAGGGTTTCTCTATATGTTAATTGATTTTTTCATTTTTTTCTTTTTTAAACATAAGAATCTTTTCCTTGCGTTCAGCTGAAGAGAGCTTGATTATCATGTGTGGTGGTGAAGATCACATTTGGTCAGTACTATTGGGAGTTTTGTGGCCCTCCGGTATGTTGTTTCCCAGTTCTCTCTCCATATTAGGAAAGTTTTCATTTATTATTTAATTCAATACAACTTTAAGCCCAGCTTCTCTTTTTGCATCTTCTGGAACTCCCATAATTCTTATATTTGGACTTTTAATAGTGTCTCTTTATTCATGAATACTTTTTTTGAGCCTGAACTAGCTCCACTTCCAGGTTTTTGATGGTTTTCCCATTGTGACTAGAAGCATCTTTCAATTCTGAGGTTCTTTTTTTTGCCTCATTCATTTGATTGTTGAGGTTTTCCACTTAATTTATAATTAGCTCCAGTGTGTCTTTTCATTTCCAATTGTGTCATTTCATTTCTTAATTTTGTTTCAGTGTTTCTATTTCCACTGTGCCATACTCCTTAAATTTCTTGAGCTCCTCTATGTGCTTCTCACTGCTCTTAATAAGCTTTATAACAAGTTTTTAAAAAGAGATTTATTTTAAAAAATTTTATTGGAAAGTCAGATATACAGAGAGGAGGACAGAGAGGAAGATCTTCTCTGGTTTACTCCCCAAGCGGCCCACAATGGCTAGAGCTATGCCGACCTAAAGCCAGGAGCCAGGAGCCTCTTCTGGTCTCCCATGTGGGTGCAGGATCCCAAAGCCTTGGGCTGTCCTTGACTGCCTTCCCAGGCCACAAGTAGGGAGCATGATGGGAAGTGGGGCTGCAGGGATTAGAACTGGTGCTCATATGGGATCCTGACAAGTGCAAGGTGAGGACTTTGGCTTCTAGGCTACCATGGCAGGCCCAACAAGTTTAAAAAATTCTTTGTTCCCCATTTTCTCAATGTATTTCTTAGTTAACTCTGAGATTGGCAAAGCTTTTGCTCTTTTGCGGGGAAGGCATCAGTAATATTCATTGTGCCTCTGTCTCCTCTTTTGCTCTTGGCCATTTTACTTCTTGTTAAGAGATTCTCCTTAGGGTAGGTTTCTAAGCTGTGCCACCCACTGGTCTACCGGTTGGCTTTACTGAATGCTAGGCAGCTCTTCTCTTCTGGCCAAGTCTCACACACTGGAGATGCGATACGTTAAGGTTGAAGGTTTGGTGTAAACCCTAATCTGTTTTCTTCAGGGTTCATAGTACAGGGGCTCCTCAGCTGGGCTCACACAGGGTTATGGTGTTGCTAGAACAAAATTCTTTTGGAGCTGAATGGCCACTTCACTGCCTTTAGTATTGTTGGTGTGCAGGTACAAAAATATAGATAAATGGGAGAACGTGTTCCTTTATTGAACTTACCCACTCGAAATTCAAGGACATCATATTGACAGTCTTGGTGGCTTTCTAGGGAAAAATACTTGAAGTTAACATAGATGGAAGAATTTCCCTGATTTGGATTGGTGAGAGTCCATTCACAATTGAGGTTTCTTGAGTAATTACTGACTCTATCAAATCCAGGAGAAGTAAAATTTCCTTCAGGAGCATTTGTGAGAGGCCCGCCACACACTAAGGAAACAAGACAACAGAGAAAGTGGTGTGAAGATTGACAGCGTCACTGACAATACCATCAAGGAGTCAATTAAACGGTGACTACAATTGCAGCAGCAACATCACCACATAGATTTTCTGCCTGTAGGCAGTTATGCTGTTAATAAAGGATACACAGATTATGGAAGAAATTCACACAGGACTGATGTGCAAAACAAAGAGTTCTTCACTTTCTCCACTGCAACAGCTGAGGTGCCTACCTGAAAGCTGGGCTCTGTATCACATCTTGAAGTCTAGGCTGAAGAAGACGTTTTCTTTACAACATTCACGTCCCCTCCTCCTAAATTTAAAAAGCCCTAGATCACAGCACTTCAGGAAGTATCATATTTAGAATCCACAACTTGATTAATTTTGGCATAGTCTATATCAAATACAACTACTCCACTGGAAATACGTATATAAATAGAGGCTGAAGAAACAAATTCTGCTTGTTTGCAGTCAAATGCTCTCTGGAAGTAAGTTACTGTGTAAGAGGCAGACTCTTTTAAGCACAGAGGGACTGACTGAGGGTTTCAGAGCTGGCAACCAGGTCCAATGGCAGTATAAAACTGCTTCAGCTGGAAGCTTGTCTGGCAGCATTTTAAAACCAGTTTTAAATTCATAATAGCACTTTTCTTTCTAGGCCTTTAATCTTTCTTCTGTCTGGCATAGGCATCTCAGCCTATCTCAGCCTAGGCATGTTTGTTTTTTGTTGAAGCACCTAGGTGGGTTTGCTAAGGAAAGGCAAGAAAGCTAGGTTGTTGTTTGCAGCAGCTGTGGAGGTCGGCAGTGCTTTGACTAAAATGAGGTGCACTCCCCACTCCCCACAATACCTGCATCTTCACTGGATGTGTAGGAAGCCATAAACCCTCCGTATGGCCTGGATTCATCCACGAAATAGACGACTTTCATTGTGTTTCCTGAAGACTGAATCTCATTGCTTGCATTCACATTACTGCACAACTTTTCCAGTTGGGGAGAGTTACTTCTCAGGCCATTGAACACCTGTGGGAAACATAGTGTAGCTTTTGGCTATGCAGTCCAACTTACTGAACATTTTCTGGCAGGTGATATTCCTAGCCCAGACTTCTTTCTTCTAAGGGAACCCTGCACTTAAGTACTTAACTCCATAGGCCCCTTCAGAGAACATGTTGTAGCACAGCAGCAGCAGGTAACACTGTTGCTTGGGCCACCTGCTACCCCTATCACAGTACAAATACCCAGCTGCTCTGCTTCTAATTGAGCTTCTTGCTGATGCATCTAAGATTCAGTAAGTATTATCCCAAGTGCTTGGGCTTCTGACTCCCTTATGGGAGAACCAGAAGCAGTTTTAGGTTAATGGTTTTATCCTTGCCTAACCCTGACTGTTAAGGACATCTGGGAAGTAAACTTGCAGACAGAAAATCTCTCTCTCATATTCTATCTCTCTCTTTCCTCCCCTCTCCCCCTTTTGCCTTTGAAGTAAATGAAAATAAATAAGTGTACATTAAGAAAATACAAGTACAGGCTCCTATTTAAGTGCCACAAGCCAATATGTTACCCTGAACATACGTCGTTTTACTACATGAACGTATTGTAATAATGCCCTCTGGCCAAGTGGTGACAGGCGGATGACTGCTGTGCATTTTGTATCTGGGACCTGTGTTTCACAGGTAAAGCAGATGTACCCCTATGCTCACATCACAGTAGGCAGAATTCACTGACAGCCACGCTTTTCTTTTCTTTTTAAAATTTTTTTAAAACAATGCATCAAGCTCTTTGCTATTTGGAAAGAAGGCTTAAATGTTAGCCTCTGGCAGTTTGAAAAATGCAGTAACTCAAATCTTTGAAAATATCTTGTAATTTTAAAAAATCCATATCAACATGAATGGAAGAAATAATTCTTTTCTAATTACTTATGGATTCAATGCTTCAATTTTCTTATTTGAATTTTTAAAAATGAGTATTGACTCTCCAAAAAATATTAAACTGTAACTCTAGGTAGCCATAGTTATTATAATTGGCAAAATATTATTAAGTACCGCAAAAAAATCAGTGAATGATTTCACATGCCTACTTTTTACAATATATACAATATCCAGGAGAAATGACTACATAATAAGCAATTGGTTGAGTGATTGATAGACCCATTTGCAAAAGGGCTTTGAATGGCTTACAGTCAGAAAAAAAATTCTTGGAACAGAAGGAGAATTTCTCTATAACAAAAACCATAAGTATTTCATTTCATATAATTGACCATTACACTTAGCTCTTTGAGGGTGTCTGGTTTAAAGTACCTTCTGGGTCACAGGACCAGACAAGATTTCCTATCATTTACTGAGCAGACAAAGTAGCAGGGTCTACTAATCACCCATTCAGGCTATCTTATCCAATCAGCACAATGCCCCTCAAGCATTTAATGGTATATCTGTTTTCCAGAGGGAACACTAGAATTCACAGATTATACAATTTGCTAAAGTACAAAGAATGAGCCTTAGCAGCAATAAGATTTAAACCATCCCTCTGATTCAAAAACATGAGGCAGTGCAAGAAGGCACAAAAGATGAAAATATTTCAGAAACGCTGAAGATATGACTGAACAACATTTGCCAGAAGCAAGGCTAATGGGACATATCAGAAAGTGACTGATGACCTTCATTCATGCTGGTATATCTGTCCTGGGTCTGGAATCATGACTAAGAGCTCCTAGGTCATCCACTTATCACATGCTTTTAGAAGCAACCAGACTGTTATTTCCATTCTTGTCTCAAATTCCTTGTTTGTAGAAACTCTGGATCCGAGAAGGCAAATGGGTAGGGAATGGTAGCCCATTCAGGACAGGCTCTGCGATTTCATGCTGTGAGTGTGAACAAACTCCCACACAGGACTCATTGTAGAACAACCTGGCAGTCTTTCATTTTCTCCATATGTTCACAGATTCAGGCAGTCAGCTAGGACTAGAGGAAGTTTTTGCTCAGTCCAATTGGACAAGGTTTTAGGCTAGCATCAATACACCTAAAGCTGCCCCACTCCACCTGCAGGTCTTAGCGGGTGTTTCTTTTCTTTTTTTTCCCCCCTTTGTTTTTCCTGGCAAACTCTCAAGTAAGTGAAAGGTGGAAAAAGGAGAAATCTTTCCATACTGTTGTCTGGAGGAGGAAAGGAAACAAACACTGAGTATAAAAATCTATTTTGGAGTAAGGAAATATGGACATCATACTAAAGACTCAGAAAACAGAAACTGCTTTCTATTTTAAAATATTACTTGTTTGAAAGAGTTACAGAGCGGGAGGAGAGGGAGAGAAGGATTGAGGGAGAGGAAAAGAGAGAGAGAGAAATCTCAACTACTGATTCATTCCTTAAATGACTGCAATGACTGGAGCTGGACCAATCTGATGCCAGGAGCTTCTTCTGGGTCCCCACGTGGGTGGAGGGGTCCAAGTACTTTGGCCACTTTCTACTGCTTTCCCAGGTACATTAGCAGAGAGCTGGGTCAGAAGTGGATCTGATGGGTATCAAGTATAATGTTGGCACCAAAGATGATGACTTAATGCACTGTGCTACCGCACCAGTCCCAAGAAATAATTTCTGCAATCAATTCTTTGTTGGAATTTTAACCACCCTGACAGAAGAAACCTGCAAAATTTTGTGTCTGTAGGTTTGCCTCCTTTGAGAGTTAGTCCTCCCATGGAATCCACAAGTTGACAGCCCTAGTTATGCAATCAGCTGTTAAGGATTTCTACCTTCAATGGGAATGAACAGCTAAGGATCAAAACACACTTGGAAAAGGTCTAATATAAAAAGCAGAGACTAAGTAAAAAGAGTCTAGAAAGAAAGTGATCCTAAAAACATCAGCAGTTAACTTCAAAAGTATTCTTATGTATATAAATATGCTGAATGCACACTGTTTGGAAATATGGGTTAAGCATATGCTCATATGTGTGTGTGTGTATATATATATATATATATGTTTTTAACATACATTGAAAAAATGAAAGTAAAATAAGGATCATTCTAGATGTACAGCTTCTCAAAATATTTATCCTCCCCCCCCATTACCATTAAACTCAGGAACTATGAGGGTGAATGTTGCATCAAAATTAAGGATTTAACAAAGAAAGAAGATGCTTGGTATTGCAATGCCAGGTAGCCATCACAGAGAAGAATGAGGAGACTTGCCAATTTGATGGTGAGAAAAAGTACTGAAATGAAAACTGATACCAGGCTTGCATCTGTCAGATAAGGGTTCAAGGAAGGATATGGCTCAAGAAAATAAATGCAAGTGATAGTTGTATTTCATTAAATAAAGTGGAAATGTATCTTTGGTTTGGAAAGGGTATGAGTAATTAGTGATCAAGGTACAGAAAACTTAGAAAATGTAAAAAGAACAAAAGTTATCACTTGGAAAATAAAAGCAGATGTTAGTGTATTACTTGGCTGAGCTGTGAATGGTATTTACAAAAGCATAATCAAGTAAATAGCAAATGATGACAATCTAAACAAAACCTGTGTGTGCACGTGTGCTCAGGAAGGTATGCAAAGTGGGGACACCTGTGCACCTGTGGCGGTAGAAAGCTAAGTCTTCATCTCCCATGGCAGCGTGTGGACAGAGTAGCAGAATCAGGATGCCAATTAGAAACAATGATGTAAATAAAGCCAGGGGTTGCTAAAAGAGAGATGATTGGCACCTATAAAAAAACAACTGGGAGATGACATTTGAGACCCGTGTTAAAGTTGCCTTAGTGTTCACATTAGTAATGTGGTTTGGATCATACATAGCATTAGGATGTATCATATAGTCTAGGCATTTAGTAGGCTGTAATACTTTGGTTTGTGTAAGCACAGTTGGGATGTGGACACAATGAAGCCACCTCCCAATGTGTTTCTTGGAATTTATTGTGTATTCTGTCATTAAGCAATGCATGACTGTATCTGTCACGCACTCCTTATTTGCTTTCTTTTCCAAGGAAGGCTAACAAGTGTCTGCAGCACTTCTCTAATCATGTAAGTGGGAGAGTGGGCAGTGCTGATCTCCCACCACAACCCTTCACTACCTCTGCAGGGCACAAAGATTATACAGCACTACTCACCTCTATGAAACTTTTGCGATCACTCTGACCCCACTCAGTTATGTGCTGTTACAGGCCAGACTTTTGTTTATCTGGGCCTGAGCTAGAGATCATATTGCTCCAAAGATTTAGCCTATCTATGACCCCAAAGCATGTGGTGGTAGCTAATAGCCTCTTATAACAATTTTTATGTTATTTGGCAGATTTTATGATGAATTTATGCCCCTTAAAATGTTTAGAATGTATCATATGTGTGATAATATTCCTGACCTAGTCTCCTGACTGTGATTTATAGGCCAGTGAGATTTCTGACTGCACAGCACACTTACGATCACATGCTCACTGCTGCAGGATGGGTGAGCTTCCAGCCGCAGGTCACTGAAAGTCAGGGTGATCCGCCTGCCTTCCTGCACGGTGATTCTCCACTCACAGAGCCGGCCATGGGGATTAGGGTTCGGGTAGTAGGGAGAGCTAAACGTTCCAGCAGGGCCCTGTAGATCCCCACCACATTCTGAAAGGCAGGCACAAAAAGGCAGAACTCGTGAATAAATCAAATGACCCCTTCCATAGAGAATTTTCTTAAAGTTACAGTATTTTCAAATTATTCTGTTGGATAAAACCTTGCCCTTATTTATCATTATATGTATGTGAAAACATTTTTAGAGAACATATTTGCCCACTTGTTGTCTCTGTTAATATTTAATCTTTGCCACCATGAATGATGGCTCATTAACAGTATTTTAATTATCATTTGGTTCAAGATACATGAAAGACCAATAAATACAATGAATTTAAGCAGTGGAGTTGGTGGCACAGCAAGTTCATCTACTGCCTACCATACCATCCTACAAAATCTCTCTCTGACACTTTGCCTTTCAAATAAGTAAATAGGTCTTTTAAAAGTAATAATTCACCTTTTTTTCAGACAAGATTTTAATTTTCTCTGAGTGTATCAGGATATTTGGGAATACAAATTCCGGCTAACGACAGGTCAGTGGACTGGCTCACTTGAGGGGGCAGTGCAGAGCAGTTCTCATATCTACTAGCATCATTAAATTCCTCTGTAGCATTTATCACAGTCATAATTTTTCATTTATTTATGTGATTTCGGGCTTAACATGTTTCTCCACTAAGCATAATATCCAAGTAGATAGGAGTCACATATGCTTGCGCTTTTCAAATGACTGCCATAGTAATGTTTGGGACAATGTTTATATGCTGTATGTAGTCAGTAATGTTTTATTCATTTATTTCCTAAAGAATCAGTGAACTTACCTGCTAAACTGGATTCAAATCTCAGCCTGAATCCTGCAGCAGCAATGGAGCCATCGGTGACAAACCTGATGGCAGCCACGTTGCTGAAAGTATCTATGCTGTCAGGAAAGACATTTCCACAGTATTTGCCCAGACTGTTTCCTGCAAGAGTCATGAAGTAAGTTTATGTTCAGATGACTGATTTCAATCTCTATTTCAAGTGTTTTTCCCACAAAAAGAAAATAATAGAAGACAAGACCCTGTCCATGACAGCAAGAAAAAGCTGGAGACATGAATTAAAATAAAAACATTCAAACACATGAAGAAACACTGAAAAATGCAACAAATTAGGAGAAGGGTACTTTAGCACAATAAGGAAGGCTTGTCTATTTGTTAAAAACAGTCTGAGACAACAATGGCAAGTGTTTCTCTCATGCAATTTCCAGGAGACGTGACATTACCCTTTCTTCTAAAAGCACAGGCTAGCCCTCTAATAACTGCACATGGCACAGGGAGCTCTCAGCACAGTGCCCTCTCAAGGTGGCCTCCAGGACAAGCCATAAACAATTGTTCCTGGGGCTATGGGCTTCCATTGTTAATGGGTGGAATTCAAGGGAGAGAATTATTGTCCAGAGCCAACTGAGTTGCACTTCTTTGCAGGGAATTGACAAATATTTTGCCCATCTTAGAAGTGTAGAAACTTCAAAAGGTGAACAGCTGTACATGAAAATATACATCCTAGAACAACAGTCATATCTCACACTGACCTGAAGTGTGGTTTTCCCAGATCTCCACAAAGTCTTTCGTGCAGTCAGGGGAGTCTTGAAGGTTAAAATGTTCAAAATGAATGCTGAGATAATGTCCCTCGGGACCCTGGAGGTGCCACTGACAGAATAAATCATTTGGATATGGAAGTGTAGGATATCCGACGCTCTCAATGACACCACTTTGCCCTGATACTGTCCCACCACACTGGGCTGAAAAAAAAAAAAAGAGCAACAAATCTGTTACAGACTCTGCTTTCATGACTAAGTCAATAAATGTGAAAACTTTCGGGTGCTAAACAAATATGAATTGAAGATGTGAAAATTCTGAAAATGTTACATTAGTGCTTTTCTTGATATCTGAGACCTGCTACTAATGTAAAGAAAAATGACACCACAAACTCAATTCAATAATGAGAAATGGCATACTGTAACTTTGAGGGCTCAGCAGGGCTATTTCAGGAGCTGGTATGCAGGTTTCATCTCAAGAACCAGCTGATAGATTGATAATGGCCTGTCTTTTACTCTGTTTTGAAATACTGAAGCAAGTTCTGCTGCAAGAAGTTTTGTGACTGATTGGTAATATCTGCTCTTTCTGGTTTAGAATCAAAACAACCTTTAACTGATATAGCTGAGAAAATTCCTGAAAAGCACTCAATTATTTCTTTTCTCCTGAAGTGATACCTAGATTGAATTATATGTAAATAGACTCAGATCACACACCCAAACAAACTTATGGTATAGTTTAAATATTGCTATAAATAGGCTTCCTGACTTTTTATGTATTGAGTATTTGGTTACTGCCTGGACTCATCAGATATTAAATTACACACCACCATGATCATATTATAATAAATTTTCATTACACATACTTAGTGCCAATTTATTAAATAAGAAAATTAAAACACTGAAGAGAGACATTTAATTTTGAATCCAGTGGACTATTTGGCACTATTTGCCCTACAGGGAGAAAAAGTTCAATTCTTCTATGAAAGATAAAGAGGATGAAGAATTCAATTCTTTGTTCCAAAAACAGTTACATTATTAAATTATTTATATTGCTTTATTACTTAAGGTAATAAATGTATCTCACAGTAAGAGGAAGAGATAAAAATTTAACATGTATTTTTCACAAATAAGTTAGGGAAACACAAAATATCAGTTTACTAAAACTAGTGTTATAAGACAAAAATTACGGGAAAAATTAAACTACAAATGACTGTGATTTTAACCACCTACATTACTTGTTTACTTCTGTTATTATCACAATTCTTACAATTAGGCAAGACAGAAAGACTTCTTTAAAATAAAAGACACTTAACAAAATAATGTCTTATTCTATCACTACTTTCCCACTTAATAGTTAAGATATTATTACCTATAGAATACTTAGCCTTGAATCCCATGTGTGTGGGGCTGTTGTCAGTTCGGAATCTCAAATACAAGATATCTGCTGAGGAAAACTGGTTGCCAGGCAGAGACATCCCACACAATCTGGATAGTACCGGTGCATTTGAATCAGCTCCGTCTCGCAACTCGAGGTAATTGGAAGTACAGCTAAAGGGGGAAAATCCTGTAAATTGTAATGCCTTGATTTATTTTGTTTAAGAAGGTTTCACTAACTTGCTTCAAGGAAATTACTGACTCATCATTTCCATACATAAGATGCTGTGATGGAGTTAGTTTAAGATGCATGGCGCTGTGAAGTGCTTTGCAATAGTTTCCCTAATAATACGTTCTATTTGCAGCTCACAAGTCCAAGTCAACATGTACTATGGTGAAGAATATCTCCTTGCCTTCTGTACTGTTTCAGATTTACAAAATGTCATTTTCAAATCAACACTACAGATTTCAACAAAACAAGTGTTCCATTTCGCACGGCAACTTGATACGTTCCCTTTGACAAAGATGAACTCCTGTGAAAGCTGTGAGACCGAGGCTAATGTGGAGTCTCAGCTGGTACTTCCTGTCTGTCAAAGAGGGTTAAGTGTTTACTGACTGCTTCTTGAGAGTCAAGCCGTCCAGCTAACACTCAGAGAGTGGAAGAGCCTCTCGTGTCTGGTAGCCAGGGAGGATAAGTGAATGCTCTTGTGCCTCAGTTCTGTATCACGTGTGTGTTCATACACATACATACACATTTTGTTAAATGAAAGAGAAGCACAAGCTGGCTTTCCACAGTTAGTTTAGGTTTCTTTTGTTTTCTCCAGAGTAGGCTATATTCTGGGTTCTAATAATTTAAAAATTCTTTTAAAGAATGTCAGGAAACTTGTACTTTTCTGTGGTTGCATTGGTACCGTTTCTGACACAAGTGACCCCTGGTGCCCCATCACATAAATTTTCACTTCTTAAACAGATATTTTTATCATTTGTGACTTATATATGACACTGGACAAATAAATACTCATCTACCAGAAGCAGTATTTTTCCTGTGAGAGGAAGGACAGGTAACATAAATCTCAGGCATCCACCCCCGTTGCCTCTTGAAGGATGTGTCTGGTGTCACAAGGAACAGTATCTATGTACATAATCTGCTCGGCTGATGGAAGAGAAAGGCTGCTAAGCAATATCTCCAAGCTCCAAGCCCTAAGCATGGTCCTTTCCCCCACAATCTCCCATGCATTTTATGGTGCTGAGAAAAGAAGAAAGAAACTGTTATGCAACATGGAAGTGACTTACTTGGGTGTTGCTTCAATATTGAACTGATCTTCAAAATGCAGTCTAATGAGTTTTCCTGAAGGAGCTGATATGATCCAAATGCAATCAGTATGTTGAGGATAATTGCCAGGGTAGTTGGGGGAGGTCACATAGCCTGCAGAATCAGCTCCATGGATGTAGATGTTGCCCCCGCAGGCTGTCAGGAAACAACGTCAAAACGATCTATAATACGGTGACTGAGGATGCAGCCAACTGATGGCTATCATTTTTTTTTTACAGGTCAATTCATGTGTCTTTCCAGTAGCATTTTGCATTTTCCCTTCATCTAGAATTATCATTCTTTTCTTTTCTAAGCAAATAAATCATGAATTTGCTGTAGTGGGAGCTCTCTTTCTCATTTGCTAAGCCCTCTATTTTCACTGGAAATGCTGTTCTTCATTACAGCCAACAAAATGATTAGGGCTCATGGTGCATGCGACAGAACCTCACAGAAGCATCGAGTCACATCCTCCCTTTAGAGGACTGCAGAAGCCCAAGAAGAACAGCTAGGACTTCGTACTTGGTGTTCAATTCTGTAGAATGATGCACAGCCAGGATCTTGAAATGTTTAAAAGAATAAACTAATACTATACATACTACTCTGTAGGCAACAATTCATCCCATTTCGCTAAGATTTAGATGCATTTAGAGAGCAAGAGGTCAATGGCATAAAAAAATCATCCAGTTTTGCAAGATTAAGGAGCTTTACATACCAGACATATGAAAATATATATCAATGACTCTTCTGGCAGTTTCTGCAAGCAGACTCAGCAGGAGCAAACATATTTACAAATCAAATAAAACTACCCTGTCCAATGACCTAACTACACAGATATTTGATCTGTTAATCCCGAGTGACATTTATTTCTATTGGCATTGAACCACTTATGGTAAATTCCTGAACTTTGTCAATACCTACTCCATCATCTCTCACACTCTAAGTGCAATCCTCTATAACAGCTTGGTCCTTGTCTTTCCTTCATACTCCTTTTGTAAAATTCCAAGTTCACAATCAGACTGGCTTAACTGAAATCACTTGAAAATGGATGCCACTGCCAAAACATGTTCTTCCACTTCAACAGTGCCAAACAATTCACCCAATACTTTGTATATAAACCACAACAGCTGTTTCAAACATCACTAGATTTCCCTTAAACCCTTTATTCTCTCCATTCCTTAATTCTCAGCATACTATTTTGAGGATTACATTACAAAGAAAACAAAGCTGCTGGGAATGCCCTCAGATTGTAACCATTTATTTGTTACCATTCTTGGTAAATTCACCTATGTCTTTACTTTCTTTCCTTCCCTGTGTGCCTTATCACACTGTACTCTGAGTTGGATTTTCATTCTAGCTTCTTTCTTCCTGCTTTATTAATCAATTTCTCTCCCATTTCTTCAGCTCAATCTAAGCACTACTACTCAGGCCCCAATCATCTTAAATTAGCACAATTAATACTCTAATATATATAATATATATTTACATGTGTGTACGCGTGTGTGTATGTGTGTGTGTTTAAGGAGGCAGAAAAAGAATCATCCTCTGGCTTACTCTCCAAATACCCAAATGGCTGGAGCTCAGCCAGAGCCAGGGTTGGGTCCACATACGTGACAGGAACCCAAATACTTGACAGGAAGCCAAGAGTGCCACCTTCACAGTATGCATTAGCAGGAAGCTGGAGACAGGAACTGAACCCAGGAACCACAATTAGGGCAATTTTAACTAGGATCTTAACTACCAAGTTAACATTCACTGCCACCAGAGATCTTTATTAATCCTCATGTTTATAGACAATTTAATATGATTGAAAACATCTTTATTCTTTATATCTTTGACCCTTAGCTTCTTAGAGACCAACCTCTTTGCCTCTTTCTTTTGTTTTCTTTTCTTAGGGAACCTCCTTCTTGGGCTTTCTTGACATTGCTAGAAACTTCCAGAAATCCCTTTGTAGGTCTTCCCTATTATCACTCTAGATAATGTCCTGATTAACATTAGACTCTCACAATTTCAAAATGCAACCAGTCTGTTGATGATTCCTATATTATTATTTATATTTAAATTATACTTCAGTCTACACCTTTCTTCTTACCTCCACATTCACGTTTTAACAGCCCACTGGACAACTCCAGTGGATACAACTTGGAGCTTCCAAACTGAATCAGAAGATTCTCAAGTTTACATTATTATCTGCTGACAATTTCACTAACCTCCACCTTCAATGTTTTTTTCTTGTCCCTAATGCATTTCACCATGACATATTTTACTTATTTATACCGTGTACTTTTACTCTAAAATTAAACTCCATTTTATTCATTCACGATTTCTCCAGTATCTAGTACAATGTCTGTCACTTGAAAGTTCATAATATTTATGAGATGAATAGATTCCACTCAGTCAGAAACCCAATAGCTACCCTCACTTTTCCCATCCCTTCCCTTACTTTTCTCATGCAACTGAACTCCAAATCTACTGCATTCTATATTTATAAGCTTGAAATATACCGTGTTTTCTACCTTCTTTACAGCCATCTCCTTAGTTCAGGATCTAGTAATTTTTCTTCTGACTTATGCTCTTATCTAGTCTCTCTCCCTTTAGCTGTTCATGTGCTTTCAGTGATACAACTACTCTGGCATTCCTAATCTGATCTTGCTGTTTACACTTTGGGTCAAAATCTTGCTCACTATCTTTGGGTTAACAACTCCTTATGATGGAATCTATGACTTCTGAATGATTCCCGCCTTATTCATCACCCTTATATTTTACCCCTTCTGATTTCTGTCCAGCAATAGTGAATTCTTTCAAATGTTTCAATATATCTTGTCTGTTAATATTGATACATTTGTCATCACATCCTTGCTTCACTGACTGCCAAATCTACTCATCTATTTCCTCTGGAATCTTCTCTGCTCCCTGGGGGCTATACCAGGTATTGCTCCTTGATGTTTTTATATCTCCAGATGAATTCCTCTATCTTGTTCTTATTATACCACATTTTCATTGCACCTAGGCTTTTCTATCTTTGATTAATCTATTAATAAGTCAATGATTGAGTGAGAACAAAAGGCGCCTGATCTACTGTCATAGCGACTTCAAACAACCATAATGAAGAAGGGTCTCTAGAGAAAGATGATATAAACTAGCTGAACTTCATTTCAAAAGTTAGCTGCATAAGAATATGTGTTAAACAATTAGAAATGGGAATGGCATGAAAATAAATATGGTGGAAAGACAGATGGATGACGAAAATAGAAGGTGACTGTCATTAAGGAAAATGGTTGAGTGAGCAAAGAAATAGAAATAAGAGTACTGTGTTTAATATTAAGGGGAGGCATAAGCTTCAGGAAAGATAGGTAGAAAGTCGCTATTCACCCATACTTGATGAATAATTAGTTCACAGAGGAATCAAACAGGCACATTATTGTCAAATCAATCCTCAGTATATCTAAAATGCCACAGAGGAGAAGGCAAGATGGCAGTATAGGATGTGGACAGGTTTAAACTGATGGAGAATCACTAGCCAGGATGAAGCACAAAGGGCAGATTCTAGGAAATAACAGAGGACAGGCCAACAGCAGAGGGGTAGCTGGAGACACTTGGAGATGGGAAAGGCTGTGCAGGCAAAGGTGCAACCACAGCACAGGATCACAGGAGGTAGAGAGTGATGAGTTAGGAGCTGGGACCATGGAGCGAGTCATGGTGAAGGCTAAGTGCAAGAGCCCAGGACTGAAACTCACTAGAGGGAGTGGCACAAGTGACTACAAAAGAAAAACCAGGTACTAAACCCAATCAGTAAAATTGGACTGTAGAAACAAAATTAAGAAATGAAATGAAACAATTGGAAATGAAAAGAAACACTGGAGCTAATTAATAATTCAGTGTAAAACCTCAACAATAGAATGAATGAGGCAGAAGAATGAATCTCAAAATTGGAAGACACTTCTTGTCACAATGGGGAAACCATCAAAAACCTGAAAGTGGAGCTGGTTCAAGCTAAAAAAAAGTGTTCAAGAATTATGAGACACTATTAAAAGTCCAAATATAAGAATTATGGGAATTCCAGAAGACACAGAAAGAGAAGCTGGGTTTAAACAAATACCTTCCTAATATGGAAAGAGAACTGGGAAACAACATACAGGAGGGGCACAGAACTCCCAACAGCATTGACTAGAAACATGATAATCAAGCTCTCTTCAGTCAAACACAGGGAAAAGATCCTTAAATGTGCATCTGAACAAAATTAACTGACCTACAGAGAAACCCTAGTCAAACTCACAGATGACCTCTCAGAGGAAACGCTACAGGACAAAAGAGAATGGAGTGAAATATTCCAGACTCTAAAAGGAAAAACTGCCAGCCTAGAATAATTTACCCAGCAAAGCTTTCCTTTGTCTTAGAAAATGGAATAAAATTCTTCCACAGCAATGAAAACCTCAAAGAATTCATCTCTTCCACACATGCCCTACAAATGATACTTAAGGATGTTCTCTTGATAGAGAAAAGGAATAGCACCTAGTAAAACCAAGGGCAAACATGGAGAATGTCCCAATAAAACCACAAAACAAAACTAAATTAAAAAAGGAACAAAGCATTGCTAAAGTAGCAGGACAAAATTATTGCTTATTGATATTAGCCAAGAATGTAAATAGCTGAAACTCATCAACCAAGTGTCATAGATTAGAGGACTGTATCAAAAAACAAAACCCATCTATTTGTTGTCTACAGGAAACATATCTCACCAACAAAGATAGGTGGAAACTGAAAGTGTAAAGATGGATTAAGTTAATCCAGGCTAATGGGAGAAAAAAGAGCTGATGTAGCCATGTGTCAGATAATATAGACTTTGACTTGAAAAACATTAAAAGAAATAAAGAAGGATGGCACATAATGATCAAAGGGTCCATTCAGCAAGAAGAGATCATCATAATAAATGTATATGCACTGAATGTCAGAGCACCTAGCTATGGGAAACAATATTAATGTGTTTAAAGGGAAAAATAGACTCCAATACATTAATACTTTTGCCATTAAATATTGCCATCAATTATTGACTTTAAAAATACAAGCCAATACTATAATCTATACAAATGAAAAGTTCTGTAGGATGAGGTGAAGGCCATTCGCTCATCTTTCAGTCACACATGAAATCCTCAGCCATTCACAACTCAGCTACAAAGCTCAGCACGGAAATGGGGAATGACAAAATGTTCTCAAACTATAGCATAATGGAGGTAGGACCCACAGAGCTGTGTTAGGGCTTCCTCTCTTCATCCACGTGCAAGAGCTGTGTGTGCTAGAAAGTGACACAAGTGGGGTATCTGCTGTCTCAGATCCTCTTCAAGCTATTATATGCCTTTATTTTTGCTAGAGATTTGAATTGAAGTTGCTAGACATTTTAATTTCTTCTAAATGAAGATACAATTCTGAATTTAAATTATTGTGTTTGGAGGAACATATAAGAATGCATTCACTAAAATTAATATGTATTTCAAAATGCTTTCAAAATTGTGGATTAAGGTCATAGGATCATAAGGAAATACATATTATCTAACTTTTTGGAGGGGGAAACAAAGATTTATTATTTATATTGCCTCCCACTGATACTACTCCCTTTCTCAACTCCTGAATTTACTCATTTAATTAAATATACCAGAATTAAATCTCACACAATTAAATTATTGCAGTAGCATTAACTACAAGTATAATTGAGTGCAATTAAGTAAAGGTACTCTATACTAAATGAGCAATAATAGAATCAGAGCATTATATGTCAATTTATAAGAAGCATATAAAAGCATAAAACAAAGCAATCATGATTCTTTCAATATTTCTATAACTAGATTGAACTCATACTAGATGTTTTATGTTGGGAAGCATTAGGAATGTAAGGATCAATAGGATTAGCTCATCTTATACTCATGGAAAATTTCACTTTGATTACTTATTTCGGGACAAGTCTTTAAAAAAAAGTCAAACCCTCATTTTGCTTACATGTAAAATAGAAAGAAGGATATCTTTGTTAAAAAGTAGTCATGACATATATTGTGATGACACACTGAAGGCAAAATTAATGTATAATGCATAGTTATTAGGTTCTTGATAGTTTTTAAATGAATGTATTTTACTATAGAAAAAAGTACCTTCCTCCCCCCCCCCAATCTATGTAAACAAAAGACTAAGCAATTATAGGAAAAGTACTAACATGATTTTCAGAGTAAACACTTACCTAAGCTCTTTGCCTCATAGTTGATTTTAAATCCTTGACCCTCATTACTACCATCAGAAATAAACTGAACAAACATTTGATTGTCCGAGGTGAACAGAGTTGATGAAGGATGACTGCCACAGAAACGACCATTTTGTCCATGAGGTCCCAAGGGTGGAGAATAGACATCAAGTCCATTTTTTAGCTATAAAGACAAACACAGATTGCCCAAAGTTGTGAACGATGGTTTTCAAAGTCTTATCCATTTTTGGCCTAGGGAAATAAATTCATGAATGAAGCCTACAAGGCTTACCACTAAATAATCTCCTTGGTTGCAAGAAGGATCTCCACTTGGAACTTGGAAGGGCTGTTCAAAATGAACAGCAATGACTTGACCACTCTGGACCAGAACATGCCAAGAGCAATTGAGATTGGGAGGGTAGGTCTCTGGATACTTGGGAGATGTTATGATCCCTCGGTCTGCATGCAAATATCCACCACAGCCTTATAATGAGAAAGAGATTATATAAATGACATTGGCAACTGTATTTTGATTCTTTCCTGTTTTTTGTTGTTGTTGTTGGGAAGTTTTAAAGTAAACATAATAGAAATGTGGTTGAAACTAAGTGGAGGAAATGATTAGCCTAACACACATATAATACGACATATTACTGGGCATTCATTTTTCTTGTTACTGTTGATGCTGTGAAAGGCTTGAATGAGGTGAGCAATAGAAACAAATTAGTACTTCCATAAAGCTTATTTCATAGATAGGAACAGCATACAATACAAATATCCAATCTGTAAGTCAGTGATATGTGTGGCAGAGAAAAGTGAATGGGGAGAGGAAGACAGTCAATTTAATAGGGATGACAGGGAAGGCCATGTTCTTGCGGTCAAACCTGAGCATAAACCCGAATCACTGAGGGACTGAGCCAAGAACCTTCATAGCCCAGAAAACAGTAGAAAGACTCGAGCTGGTAGAGATACGTGACAGAAATCAGAACAGATGAGATAGAGCAAGAAATCCCAATGACAGCATACTGGATCATGCAGAAAATTGAAGCCCTTTTTCTGAATAAGAAAACACTGAGATATCAGAATGGCATGACGTGACTCAAACCATAAAACTGTCACTATCTTCAATAAAAGAAGGAGATAGTGGTGAGGGAAGAACAGAAGCAGAGGATATCATGAGATGATCACCGAGTCCAAGGAGAGATGATAGAAGCTCGCATTCAGGTGTTGGCAGAAGTAGAGAAAGGTGCTTGGAGTACAGCTGGGCTGGGAGGGCAGAACTGTTGGGATTTGTGAATGGGAGGATGTAGGATGTGAGAAAGGAAGAAAAAGTCAAGCATTACCCCAAGATGTTTGGCTTAAATTAATAGAAGAGTGATTTTTTTTTCTATTCACTTCAATTATGAAGAGTGTAAAATGAGCAGTTTTGGGGATTGGGAGAGGGTGTGAATCAAGAATTTCATACATTAAGTCTGGAATAACTCCCAGATATGGAGCTGTCAAGCATGTGTGTGTTTATATACATATATGTGTGTGTATGTTATACACATATACACAGAGATCTACTGCATACATGTATATTACATATTCATATATTATAGACATATATCATATGTATATAGCAATATATATATATATATAGACATACCTATGTAGTTCACAATGGTTCTGTATCAGATATACAATAAGGGTAAAGCATGCCTGAGAGACATACAAGAATCAGAAGTTGGGGGCTGAGGAAACACTGAGGTTGGAGCAGGTAAGCAGAGAGCTCTTGCAGTGAACTAAGTCGCAGAGGTGAAAATCTACCTTATCTTAGGTCAGGCTAGTTCCAAAGTCTGTTGTCTTAAATCACAACACAACACTCTTGCTTTAGGTATGAGAAAGATAATTTATATTTAGTTGGCTACATAAAAGTTATATACAATAAGAAAACACATATGAAATTAATTTTTGGGATTTCAGGAATAATTTTTAAATCGTGGGTTTTTGTTTCAATTAACAATACAAGACCTTTCAATATGTGACTACTTCCTTAACTTATGTAGCTTGGATCTTATGTTATTACTGAATTTCATGTATTGTCAAGTTTTGCAAGTCAGTCTTCATATGATAGTATCCTAACACTGAGACTACACATGGGCTGGAGTTTATGCATTTTTGACTCATCAGATTCATATTTTTTAGAGCTGCAAACTCTTCTGCCAACCTTCAAATGAATGATTTCTATTGAGAAATTTCTGAAGATGATCTTCTGTATTATTTTTTCTATTTATTCCCTCGGTTGAAGGGAAATCAGAGTTACTGCTCTTTTGATATATTATGGAGATGAGCTGTCTTCAGTTCTTTCAGCCTTCAGAGTCTTCTAGGGTTCTCCCTCTTGATAACCTTAGAAGCCTCCTTTCTAGAGAAGGTGTCTACTTAACCACTTGAAGGTGGGAAACCCTCTGCATAAATTACTCATGGAGCTTTGATCAGGATTCAGTAACTGACTTAAGGATTGACATCCAGAGGTGATAGAGATCTGTATTCTGACCTGTAACCTATATCCTGGCATGGAAAAATGGTTAGAGTAAATTAGGGAAAGGAAAAAGAGAGATATGAGATGAGGTAAGACGAGATGAGATGGAGCCGAGCAACGTTCGAACACATTACTCTTGTGAAAGGATGCGTTGAAGCCTGCTCCCGTCAAACTGAGATCAGAGGTGAAGCGGATGAACATGTACTCTCCAGTAGAGCGGATGGGCCCAGGGATCTCTCTGCCACACAGAACTGCTAGCGGCTGGGCCAGGTTATTATCTCCTATGAACAAAGAAGGGAAACTTCAGATTAGAAATATGATAACTTCCAAATCTCCCCCACATTTACTTCCAACCAGAGTAGATCACTTCCTCAGAATACAAGAAGTTCCCAGGAACACTGAAATTCTCAAACAGTAGCATATATCAGGGTTATCTCATTCTAGATCCACCTTGCTCAACTGCAGCCTGCCCACTGCTTTTCTAAAATTTGGCCAAAAGTTCTTAGCATTAATGCTCATATCAGACTCCCTGGGGTTGGAAAGTGGCAGAGAATCTTGTTTTATCATTCTTTTCAGGGATTCTGTCTGACTGCTGCAAATTGAGCATCTAGAACTGAAGAAAAGTTTGGCTTTGCAGCTTCGTTATGAGGTCCTTCACCAAGAAGCCTGCAACTTTTACCCAGCTCCTTCTGTTTGGAACTTCACATTCGTTCTTCCTTGGAATTTTAAATTTGTTTTCTATTTGTTTGGGTTTTTGTAGTTGTAAAAGCAACACATTCTTGTGGGAGATAGCAAAGATAATTTCAGTAAATGCCCTGACTCCTAGGAGAAATGCAGAGGACAACCATGTCACTGGGGTCCCTTTTCCTTCTCTTGGATGAATGTTTCCATCAAAACAACTGTTCTCACCAAGACCAAAACAGAGTGAAAGGGATTAGAACCGACATGGATTCCGTGGCTGAGGACATTTTATTTTTCCTCTAAAGCAGAAAATTAATACATTTCAGACTTAGAAAAAATAAAAATGAGATTTGAAGTGAGAGAAAACGTGTCCTTTTACAGAACCAGCAAGTTGAATTCTTTTTGACATTGATCACTACTTAAAATTCATTCATTTTGAAATTCAGAAAACAAGTATTTTCTATTCTGTGAATACAAATTAACAGCAAAGTTACTAAATGAAGATGCTTGGAAAGACATTCTTTGGAGAGCTTATTACCTGTGGAAATTTTATAGACAGTAATTTTTAAAATTCCAAACATTTAATCTCTTAAGTTCCTCTTTGCACTTCATATCTTCATTAATGTTATTTTTACTACACATCTCACCCTGTATTACTTTTGCCTATGCAGGTAATTATTGGTTAGTAATTACCTACACTATGAAATTTTGGAGTTTACTATACATGACTATTTTACAAGTATACATTTTTTCTCTCAATGAGACTACTGATTTTGATTTCTAAGCTTTGCTCCAGACAAATAATGTCTCTGAATAATTACCTATCAATTAACTGATTATTGGCGTGCAACCCAGTAACAATATATGCCTTGTTATCTTCCCAACTCATTCTTCCAACCTAGTCTTCATACTGAATTTTTTGAGTCTTGCAGACCCTCAACATACAAATTGCAAAGAAAAAATCCTCAATGTTTAAAAAGAAAGGCAGGTCAGACAACTGTAGAGGCTAAGGTTAACAGGTTATCTCTAGAACAAACACCTTGCTCTAGAGATTAGAAACCAAGGCCCCAAGATCGTTAAAGGTCGACAACTGCTGAACAATTACTATCTAGAATTTCAAGGGGATTACACTAAATACCTAATTTGATTTTCATAACACTATTAGGAATTATTATTAGGTACAGTCTATAGATAAGAAACTGAATCTTGAATGCAACTTACATTTCTGTAAAGGGGCACACATTTGAGAAATCAAAGGTGATGTTAACCCTCTTTTTATAAATGATTTATTTAAAATCAGAGCAGCATATAGAAAGGTGAAGAAAGAGAGGTTTTCCATCAGCTGGTTCACTCCCCAAATGCCTGCAGTAGTCGGGTTAGGCCAAGCTGAAGTTAGGAGCTAGGAACTGCGTCCAGGTCTTCCGCAAGTGCAGCAGGGACTTGAACACTCGGGTCATCATGGGCTGACCCAGGAGGTTCACAATCACCCTATGATAAATGGCCAAAGGTTTGTGATGACAAATCAATTTCATGAGCAACCTCTAAGCGTTATCAATTGTAGCCAACAATTTTAGATATTTGCTTCAGAATGTTACAAGCTGCCATGACGCTGAAGCAAAAAAAAAAAAAAATTGCTTGGAATTGGGCATTGAAAAACCCTCATCCCATATCAGAGTGCCTGGCATCAAGTCTTGGCTCTACTTTACCAGTTTCCTACTAAAGCACCTCCTGAACGACAGCCAATGATGGCCCAAATACTTGTGTTCTTGCAGCTCACAGAGGAGCACTGCATGAAGTTTCTGGCTCCTGACTTTGATCTGGTCCAGCCCTAGGTGTTGTAGCCTCTTGGAGAGTGATCCAGTAGATGGATGGTCTCTGTTTCTCTGCCCTCAAATGATGATTGATGCTCATGATAACAACCATCATGATAAGTAAAATTATTGGGTAAAGAACAAATCATTAAGGTAGAAATTAAACCATAATTTTAAACATATATTAACGCTATGTAAATTTGAAGAAAATATCCAAATGTGCACATAGTTGACACTTAATAACTATTTCTTCAAGGAATAATACTCAAATGAGGAGAGAATGAATCATTGGACATCTACTCATATCATTATTGAAGCAAGGGGAAATGAATAGGTTACTTCAAAACATCTGTGGAGGGATCAGCTTTACTGCACAGTAGATTGAACCACTATCAGTCACACTGGCATCTCATATAAATACTGGTTCTAGTCCCAGCTGCTCTGCCTCTGATCCAACTTCTGCTAAGGCACTTGGGAAAGTGGCAGAAGAGGGTCCAAGTACTCAGGCCAAGGCCACCCACCAGGGAGACCCAGATGGAGTCTAGACTCCTAGCCACTGTAACCATTTAGGGAATGAAACAGCTAGCGGAAGATTCTCTCTCTCTCTTCTCTCTCTCTCTTAAAATAAATAATCTTTAAAACGGTTTCCTACCATCTCGTATTACAAGACTATCATAGCCACATGTTTGGTGAGGTTCAATGTCCAGGGAGAGGAGGTTGAGTTCCACAGTAGAACCAGGAGCTCGGATGAGCCATGTGCACTCAAGCCCATTATTGTAGTGGTCCGGCCAGCCCGGGGAGAAGAGAAACACTGGTGAGTCTCTTGTAGTCAGGAACCCACCACAGGTACCTGTAGAATCAAGAGTGACAAGGTAGAAATATTTGTGATGGAAAACAAAAGAGTACCTTTTCACTTTAAAGTAATATCACTGAACAAAAAGAAACAACCGATTGAAAACAACAACTTTCTCAAAGAAATCACTAAACATTTCATTAAATCCACTAGTTTAGTCACGGTTTCTATAATTTCTTCTTCTGTGTAAGAAAGAAACATTGCGCTCTTTTTTTATTATTCAATTGCTTATTAAATTGAAAGTTTTATTGAGCAATAACTCAGAGCAAAATGCATCATTTTGAAATGTGCACCTCATGGGTATTTAGTAAATTCAGAAGTGCAACTGCCCCCACTGTCTAATTTCAGAGTGTGTTCAGCATCCCATAGAGAAACACCATGTCCATTTTCCTGGATTCTCTCTTCTCCCACATTCTGTCTTTACAGATTGACCCACTTGGGCATGGCCTACATGGAATGGTATCCTCTGTGGCCTTCTGTGACAGGTTTCTTTCACTTATCAGAAAGTTTTCATGGCACATTCAGACTGTGCTGTCAAGAGATTACTAACTACACAAGCAAGAAACTCGAAAATCTTTACCTCTGTCCTTATTTTTCTTGACTAAAAAATGAGATTTGTGATAATAAATTATTCACTTAAGCCATATAATTTTACATTATTAAACTCTTAAATAGGAATGACTCATATGGTTTAATGGGTCATTAATTTCTTCTGTAACTTAAGAATTGTGACTATACAAAGATCTAATCAAGTTTATTTATAAGAGTTCTGAATATACTGATCTATATTTCATTTGAAATCTTACTGATCATTTATTTGCTTTTAAGGTAACAGATTAATATTTTAAGGAAATGATTAAAATTCAATGTGGTGAAGCTGTCTTAGAAGACAAACTAAAAATGATATATCAGGAAAGAATACTAAGAGATATTAAATAAAAAATAAATATGAATTACATATCAATCAATGGCCTTTGCTGGTAGAATTCTCAAGAAGGTAGAAGCAGCTAGCTTTCATCTTTAGGATGTTTAGGCTTAGAATAAGTTTATAGTTTGACTATTTTTCTGAGATTCTATGATCATGTGCCTAGAAAAATATTCAAAACTGAAATTTTTCATCTCTGTCAACCCTCAAATCCATAAGAAATGCCCAAGTTTATTTTAAAAAATTCTAAGGACAAAGAACAAAGTCTCTCAAAACACTTACAGCTCAATACCACTTTTACTGAAGAATATCTTAAAAATAGTAAGGTCAGTTTTAAAATTAGACCTGTTCTACTTTAAAGTATGAAGCTTACACTCAGCTAATGAGAACATAATGCATTTCTGAAGGTACAGTTGAATCAAATGGAGGAAACAGACCTCCTTCTGTCCTTAGTAGTATCTCCATCTCGTGTGTGCGCATGCACATATGTGCATGTGAAATTTTCAAACTGATTTTCAGAGATCTCAGAACTGGCCCCTAGAAGCTTGAAATAGAATATCTTACAGGTCTCACACTTCTAACTACCATGAAAATATAATGGTACATTTGCATTTTTTGCAGAATGTTAGAGAAGCTTTATTTTTTAATGTAGCATTTGTGAATTTGAACAAATGGAGAGAGGGCTTTAGAGCTGTACTTATATATGCATTTTGCCTACGTTGTAACAGAACCCTTTAAGGGATTAGCCTATACTTATCAATCCCAAAGCATTTCATTTATGATCACATACCTGCAGCAATTGTAGGAACAAGCCCACTAGGATTGTCTACTGCAAACCACTCCAGGAGGAATCCCCTCCCTGTGACGGTCGAGTCTGAAGAAAACTGAAATGTCAAAGAATTTCCAGTGGAGCTAAAAGAGCCTGTCTGAGTCCCACAGTAAGTTCCAATGAGGCGTGAATGAACTCCAAGGCCATCATAAATCTGTAAGGGGCAAAAAGAAGAGTAGAGCATTCTATTTTAAGCAATCATCTCTTTTTTTTTCATAAAAAAAGAAAATTTAAACTTCCTTTCTATTATTACAGTTTTATCACAAAGGAAAAAAAACAACAAATGTGCAAATATTTTAATTTGAAACAGAAAATATTACTATAAATAATTTAATGTGCTCAAAAATATTTATATCTTTGTTGCACAACAATATTAGTAACATGATGTGTGGCATGTAACTGCAGCTCACTTGACGATTTACAGCAAATTTAAGGAGCAGAAAAGAAGAAAGCAGGTTAGCTCCATGTTGTGAAGTCTCAAGAGGAGGAAAGAGAGAGAGACAGGAAAAACAATGAGAGGAAAAGCTCCACAAGAGACAAGGGAGGGCTATCCTAAAAGAAACCATGCTTCCACAGAAAGAAAGAATTAAGGACAACTGAAGAACTACATCCTGGAGAACCCCTTCATCATCTTCGAAGAACTCAATAAATCTCTTTCTTTTGTCTTAAAATGCTAAATTATCTATTTAGGCACACATGTTGTGATAATTTCCAAATAATTTGGAACAAATTCACGGGAACAGCTGCTATAAAATCCCCTATTGGGCCTCAATTTGTCACATTAGATTTTCATACATGGTAGGTGTTTATTAGGTCCTAGATTCTATTTGAGGCACTGAGTATCCAAAATGAGTAAGACAGAATATTGTTCATCAAAAATCTGACAGTATTTCTGGAGTTGATACAGGAGCCAATGTCTGGATGGCAATGGTCACCATAATTTTTATAACCACATGTATTTATTTATTTATGATTCTTTAAATTTTTCAACACTCTAACATAAGAATAAATAGAACAGTGGGATAACAAAATAGAGTAAACACATAATTAGGACACAGATATATGTTCATATAAAGCCTAACATGAAAACCACAATGATACTAAAACATACAAAATCTTAGACACAGAAATGCAAATAACAAATACAATACTGAAACCACTTTTAAGAGACGGTAATCATGAATTAATTAGGGCAGACCATTCTGTACGACTTGCAACTCTTCGAATGAACATTAACTTGGGTTTATTTTTGACAACAGCAATTCTCCAAAATCCCAAATGCATAAAAAGTTGATTGCGTGTAGAAATTCACCTTTAATTTGTCATAATAGCAGTTTGGTGTTTCTTCGGTGTTCATCTCCAAAATTCTACCATGGATAATCTGAGATTCATTCACATTTACTATCCATTGGTAATTGGAGTTATGCGGGTAGTTTCCAGGCCATAAGGGAGAAGCAATTTTCCCATGAGATCCCACAATATTATGATTGCCAAACACTAGGAGGAGAAAACATAGCAGTAAATCAGATCTACTTAGTATAGTTCTTTAATTGAATGGTTAAATAGGCAGAGGATATTAAAAAGGATGGGCTTTTCATTAACTGTGATTCCTTTCCAACTATTGAAAGTTCCTTGGAGAAAGGCGACACTGTGAGTGGAATTCCAGCTCCTTAGAAGGTTGCTTGCTATGCAAGGAGCCAGCAACTTCCCATGTGAAAAGGGGATCCCAGACCCAAGGAGATGTGGGAAGGGTATGAGGATACCAGGCCCATTCCCAAATTTTGGCTTACCTATTGTATGTTGTCACACAATAAAAATGCACATGTTTTAAAACACTGTTTTAGGATAAACTGACTGCTTGTAACAATATATAGAATAAGCAGTTAGAGAAATTCTGATTAAAAACCAAATGTATTTCATGATTGTGTCTTCTGGAAGAAGACTGTACAGTTATAACACTGGGACATCTGAGTCAATCCCAGAATTAGACCACCTTTAATTTAAAGATTATGGAGTTTATATGATTAAATGTAATATATTTCATAAATACACCAAATCGGAACTATATTGGAAATCTCTTTAACACAGTATTATGAAAAAATCAATTTAATTCTAGGGTAGGAAATTGAAGTTTTAAGAGAATACAAAAATCACTGAGAATGTTTGCCTTCCCTTTTAATAAACCACTCACATATCATTTAGTGATTCTAACACGGGATAAAATGATTTCAGAGAGGCACCACAGGAGAATACCATATTGAAAATACTGTTGATGTTTACAAACATTAATTTGTAAAGCCTATTTTGTAGGTCATCACAACAACAGAATTAACTTACCCTTAGTGAATGAGGCCTGGAAGCCAGTGCCACTTCCTGAGCCATCCGAGACAAATCTGATCCATAAGATGTGTCCCATAATGGATGAGTAGTTGTGAGGGAGGGAGTTTCCACAGTAGCGCCCCACCAACTGACCCGTGGCATTTCCTTCCCGGATCTCCACAAAATCTTTGCTACAGTTCTGAGAGTCCTCCAGCTGAAAGGATCTGACAGGGAGGAATGTGGGTGTGAATATTTAAGGGTACTGCTTTGGTAAGACACAGTTCGGGATTATCCTGAATCCCATATTAATTAGACTAGTTAGACTAGTTATGTTTACTTTCTCAGAACTTCCATTTTGATCATGAGGTCCTGTATCTATCTCAAAAAATTTCCCTTTACTTAAATATTCAAAATAAGTTACTACTTTTAAACGGTCTCTTTGTGTTTCAAATAAAAAGATAATAAGCAACCAAAATTTTGGAAAGGAAGATATATATGAGTAACCAATAAGTACATGAGCAAGTATTTAACACTGTTAGTCAATAGGAGAATATAAATCAAAGCCATGACATAATGCCTCAAACCCAGCAGAATGACCACGTTGAAAACAAAACATGGAAAACAAATGTTGATGAAGATGTGGAGAAGCTGGAACTGTTGTTAACGTTCATAAAAAGGTGCAGCGGAGGATGACCTGAGTGCTTGGGTTCCTGCACGCACATGGGAGACCTGACCATTGTGGCCTCTTCCAGAGTGCACCAGAGGGTGGAACATCCTTTCCTGTCCCTCAATCTCTCTCTTTCTCACTTTGACTTTCAAATAAATATAAATACACCTTAGGAAAAACAAAATAAACAAGAACAGAGGTCACCAAAGGCTAGGGGAATGAGGAAATGAGTAACTTTTGTTTATTGGAGATACATAGAATTGCTGAGCAATGAGTTCATGGAAAAGCTCTAATAAAGCTTCAACAAAACAAGTCGATATCTTAATTGTCAATTTTATGTCAACTGCACCAAAAACAGGAAAGAAAACAGAGAGAATAAATTCTTTAACTTACTGAGGGTAAGTAATTCAGAACAAAAGAACATGAAGGTTGAAAAGTGAAAGGAAATTTTAAGTCCTTCTTACTTAATCCTATACAGATGAATAATCATACATAAAATAGCAGGCAAAGGAATCCATCAATTTGTAAAATTTGCAAATCTTACCTAAGCCATTTCTACAATTTAACATTAGAACATCTATTATAGCAATTAATTATAGCATACTTAAAGAATAATAATAGACACAAAAATACTTGGCAGAATTCAATACCCAGTCATCAAAAATTTCAAAAAGGACTGATGATAACCTGATAAATGTATACCAAAAACTTACAAAAAACATACTTAAAAGTAAATAATAATAATAAAGCAGGCTCTTTGAATCAGAAAAAAACCAAAGAAATGTACTCTCATCTTTTTATGTTATATACACAGTGAGAAGTAGCCAACGTAATAAAAAAAGTAAGGTGGCAATAAGGATTACAAGGATTAGAAGAATTCTAAATCCATATTCAAAGAGCTCATTCATTCTATAAACATTTACTGAGCACTGTACTGTGTTAGCTCTTTTCTAAAAACCAAACTAATAAGAGAGACAGTTTACTTGTTCTAGAGACTGAAGATAATACTCAATAATGAGATGATATACAAAAATCAGCAGGGTTTCCTTAAAGTAGCTAACTATAGCTTAGAAACTATCTTATTTTTTTAATGATTTATTTACTTTTATTGCAAAATCAGATATACAGAGAGGAAGATCTTTCATTCAATGGCTCACTCCCCAAGTGGCTGCAACGATTAGAGTGGTGCCAATCTGAAGCCAGGAGCTCGGAACCTCTTCTGGGCCTCTCACGTGGGTGCAGGGTACCAAGGCTTTGGGACATCCTTGACTTTTTTCCCAGGCCACAAGCAGGAAGCTGGATGGGAAATGGGGCAGCTGGGATATGAACCAGCACTCATAAGGGATCCTGGCGCAGTCAAGGCAAGGACTTTAGCTGTTAGGGTACTGCACTGGGCTCTTCTTTTATATGTAAGATTTATTTATTTTTATTGAAAAGGAACATATTTTCAGAGAGAAGCAGAGACAGAAATATCTTACATCCATTGGTTTACTTCCCAAATCACTGCAATGGCTGGAGTTGAGCTGATTGAAGCCAGGAACCAGGAGATTCTTCTGGGTCTCCCATGCAGGTGCAGGGTCCCAAATCTTTGAGCTATCTTCTACTGCCTTCCCAAGCTATCAGCAGGGAGCAGAATGGGAAATGGAGCAGGCAGAGCACAAATCGGTGCATGTATGGGATCTCAGTACTTACAAGTTAAGGATTTAGCCATTGAGCCTGGCCATTACACTGAGCCCAGAAACTGTATCTTAAAATCCATTCAAATATTTTTAAACTCTTCACTATACTGTCAGACACTTTCATGGGGAAAAGAACAAAGAAAATAAATTATGTGCTTTCTCTCAGGAAACATATATTCTAGAAAGTGATATATATGAACAATGACGTACACAGGGGCCAGTGTGGTGGTGTAGCATGTTGATCTAATGGGAAAGCATGTGGTAATATTTTATTTATTTAAAAGTAGTTTAGAAAAATAGTAATTTGGGGGCCAGTGTGGTGCTGGTGCTGGCTTTGCAAGATAATCCTCAGCCTGCAGTGCCAGCATCCCATATGGGTAAGCTGCTCCACTTCTAATCCAGCTCCCTGCCCATGACCTAGGAAAAGAGCAGAAGATGGCTCAAGTCCTACAGTCCCTTCACTCGTGTATTTCTGGAAGAAGCTCCAGGCTCCCACCTTTGGATCAGCTCAGCTCTGAACATTGAGGCATTTGTGGAGTGAACAAGTGGATGGAAGATTTCCTTCTCTCTCTACATCTGCACTTCACATTCATTAAAAAAATCTTTTCAAAAAGTAACTAACAGTGAAAAAAAGTATAAGATATGGCTGCACAGTATTGGTTTTTCAACAGTTACTGGGGAGAGATTTTGCTGGAAAAAAAAAAAAAGATAAGAAAGGAAGAAAGAATGTTCCAGTTAGACTATAGACCTGACTGCAAGGACTGAAAAACCCAGAAACATGTGGAGACCAGAAAGCACACTTGTATATAAGATTTCACATGTTGGTAAGCAGTTTGCTCCCTGGTGCTCTGTCTCGGTGAATGGGTGAGGACGTTAAGAAAACAACCAGCCAGTCTAGAGGCTCTGGCCACGTCAAGCCCTGCATAGAATCAATGTCAGGCACACCTCCCAGCAGTCACGGTGCCCAAAGCACAGGCGCAAGCAGCTCTGCTCCACCCACAGCTTCTCCAGCAACGTCCTGGACTGAGCAGAACTCTCGCCAGAATAGTGGGAGTCACCTGCTTCTATGATCCCATCAAGGTGGGGTGTTACAGTACAGATCCTCTGGACTATATCGTACACACATTTTAGCAGCAAGCTGTGACTGATAGTGAAGAAACAGAAGAAATTAAGAAGCATCCACTTGGGCCAAAGCAAAGGATACATTTGTTTATTTGTCTTACTCCCATAATGTTCCAGTGAGAATCCAATGCTCTAAGAATATTATCCAAAATGTCTATCTATTATCACTTCTGGCAAGGGAGATGTTCTGAATCTATCTTCAGGATGGCTGCCAAGTTTAGTGCTTAAATTCAACCTCAGTTTTATTAGCTTAATATTAACAACACTGTGAAATAAGCCAATCATTTTTTTTTCTGCTTCACCAGAAGCAGAAAGGCAGATTATTTTCCACAGGCATGACTTCTAAAACCTTTCTACAGTGTGGTATGCAGCCCAGCAGCCTCTGTCTCCTCTGAGAGTTTGAGATAAAGAAGCAGGCCCCACCAGCCACCAGAATCACAGCTTGCATTTAGCAAGATCCCAGCAAATCTTGTGCATCAAATCTAGCAATTATGCACATCAAAGTCTGGTACCATGGCCCAGGAAATTAAAGTGAAGGTCTTTCCTAAGTACCAGAGTAGCATGGTGTTGTTAAAACAGTTGTCAAAATACTACATTAGAAATAATGCAGTTCTTACAGCCATACCTGCAAGAATCCACTCAAATTTTTTTTTCTAAACTTCTAATGTTCTTAGAATCCTTTGTTTTAGGCCTATACATTTCATAAGCAAATTTACCCTTTAGCTAAGATCTGTTCGTAAAAATACAACGTAGAACTAAAATAGTACAAGGCACTGTTTCTCATTATCTCATTTCAATTCTTTAATCAAGCCCAGCCACTTTTGAAAAGCGCCCTGCAAGCATAAAATACAGTTTCTGCGAATGACCTTAAATATCTGTTTTACAAAAAAAAAATTTCTTTTGGTTTTGCTTCTCCTCCCTCTCTTTTGTTGCAGATTCAGCCATAATTCCCCTAGCTTTTCTCCCTATTCAATTTCACCGCAGGGTCTGCAAGCCCAACCCTGTGTTCTCAAAACTGCCTTCAGCCCATGCGTCTCACGCACCCGAGGGAAACGTTCCTCAGCACCATCTGGATGTAGTTTAGAGGAGGCCTCACCATAAAATCCTTCTGACTATCATTTTCATAAAAAGAAGCATCTTGCATTCTACAAAATTCCCTTCAAAAAATGAAACTCAAACAAGGAATACGAAGAAAAGCCAAGTTAACGTTTCACAGGGGAGGAAGGAAAATGCTGACTCACTTAGGTTTCCTATCTGGTAGTTAGAATTCATGCCCCTTCACAGTACAGTGCATGAAACTTATTTCAGAATAAGAGCCCAGCACTGTCCACTTGCAGATATCTGTGAACTCTAATAGAAGATGCTGCAGAAATGGCAAAGACAGAGAATTGGCACTCACACAACCTCTGCTGTGTGCTACGTTTCAGATTTGACATCTTTAATTATAGCTGTGGCCCTAGAACTTTATTATCTCTTTATAGAATAAATAAATCTCATTCAGACAGTACACTGACATTGAGTTAGTAATAGTTTATAAAGAACTGAGGTCTTCCTTATTTGTGTTAAGATTTATTTTATTGTTTTAGATTTTATAATATACTTTTTTTTCCCTTAAGATTTATGTTCCTGGAGAGGCAGAGTTGCCGAGACAGAGGAAGACACACAGAGACAAAGAGATCTTCTATCTGCTGGCTCACTCTTCAAATGGCCACAATTGCCAGAACTAGGCAAGGCAAAAGCCTAGAGCCAGTCATTTTTTTTAAAAGATTTATTTTATTTTTGCTTGAAAGCCAGATTTTACAGAGAGAAAGATTTTCTGTCTGCTGGTTTACTCCCTAGGTGGCTGCGCTTAGCCGACATAAAGCCAGGAGCCAGGAGTTTCTTCTATGTCTCCCATGCAGTGGAGAGAGACAAGGCTTTGGGTCATCTTCCACTACTATCCCAGGCCACAAGCAGGGAGCTGGAATGAAAGTGGAATAGCCAGGACATAAACCAATGCCCGTATGAGATCATGGCACTTGCAAGGTGAGGATTTAGTCACTAGGCTATTGCACTGGTCCCAAGAGGAATTAATTCTATCGGGGTCTCCTGTATAGGTTTTAGGGACCCAAATACTTAGGCAACAGAAGCTGCCTAGGGAAAGATGGTTCAGAGGTGGAGCAATCAGTACTCTAACCAGTGCTTTGATATATACACGCAAATGCTGCAGGCTTAACCCACTATGACACAACAGTGACTCCCGTTTACCTGTCTTAAGCACTTTAGGACTTAGTCCAGGTGCTGGCAACTTCTGAACATCAGTGGTCAACAACATTGACAACAGAAAAGGCCAAGGGGGAAATTACCAAAAGGGAGCCATTTTATTTGGCAATATGGGACCTAGAAAGCTATGTGAAGGACTCTGGGCTTTAACTTAGAAAAAACAAATTTTTTTTAATGACAGGCTTATTCTTTGAAAGTCAGAGTTAGAGAGAGAGAGAGAGAGAGAGAGAGAGAGAGATGTTCTACGTATTGGTTCACTCCCCCAAGTGGCTATAATAGTAAGGTGTGAGCCAGAATAAGCCATTAGCTTTTTCGGGGTCTCTCATAGGAGTGTCAGGGGCCCAATCACTTGGCCATTCTCCACTGCTTTTCCCAGGTGATTATCAGGGAGCTGAATCAAAAGTGAAGCAGCTACGACACTGACTAGAATCCATATGAGACACAGTGTTGCTGGCAGCAGTTTTAACTGCTATGCCACAACATGGCTCTAGAAAATGTGTTTTATTCATCACGTGCAAACATTTAGATTGAGAGCAATATGTGTTGGCTCTGTGTGTAGTATACAATAGAAGTACAATAAATATGTGTTGAATAAAAACATAAACATGCATCAGGTAAAAATTATATTTAGATGTTGGGCACTATGGTAAGGACACCACTTGAGACAACAGCATCCAATTTCAGAGTACCTGAGTTCAGGGCACCAATTCATTTCTTATTCAACTTCTTATTGATGTGAACTCAGAGAAGCAGCAGGCAATGGCTCAAGTACCTGTGTCCCTTCTCCCCACACAAGAACCCCTGATGGATTTTCTGTATCCTGGCTTCATCCTGAGCCAGCCCTGGCTGTTACAGTCATTTGGGAGTGAACAAATGTTTGGAAGCTCTATCTTTCTGTCCGTCATTATGCCTTCTAAATAAATAAAAACAAATAAGTCTTTCTTCTGCTCATACCTATCTTTGTGTTCTTAGTGAAGACAGAGACAAGCTAAAACCTTCTCCCATATGGTGGCTTCAACTTGCACTGCCTTCAGGCAAGCACAGGGTGTCTCTGTCTTAATACAATGCCATGTGTACCCTGAAAAGGCACTGAGTGACTGATTGATTAAAGAAAAGATTGGTGGGTTGAAGATAGAAGTTTGAGATATTTAAACTTTGCCCACAATTAGGACTGTGAGCTTATAGTTTTATTCAGTTCCTGATGAACATACCTGCATTGCTAGGCAGAAGAACAAGACTTTTGAATAAACAGGCTAGTATTCCCAAAACTTATACTTTTTTGATACTTATAAAACACCTACACTATCTTGGACACAGAATTTATAATTTCAACTATATTCACTAATACAAAATATAGTATGATAACTTTCAGTTCCAAATGGCAATGCAAATGAAAAAATATTCTTATTTAATATTTGCTAAGCTTCTATTCCTATGTCACAGGTACCTTTTTGACGATTGATTAAACTGGCCATTTGTACTTTTCCTGTGTACGTTTTAGATCCAGTTCTGGGAAATGCTATTATTGTTGTTTAATTTAACCTGGGAGCACTCTGAATGTGACAGAATTTTAGTCTGTCACCTGAGTTTGCATTTCAAAAGGGTACAGTTCAGTGAGGATTGTGAAAGTGATTCCTCCACATATCAGCTACCAAATTCCCAAAGTTTCCCAAATCCTTTTTCTGATAGCAGTAGACAGAAAGGTGGATTGGGGTCCGTGGGTGAAAAAGGCTTCTAGGAGATGGAGGGCTCTGCTGGTAGAGAGAATATCAGTGATTCTCTGAAAGAACCTAAATGTGCCTAAAACCAAGGATAAAGAAAATCACTGTTCTTTGTTGCCATGAACATTTCATAAATATATCCACCAACAGTTCAAGTACTTCTGTTAACATTAAACAGGACTATGGAACCATTCTCGAGAGACTCTCGATGCTATTTATAACCCAAACTATGATTAAAACAGAGGAAGTTTGGAAAAAGACTTCATAAAGTTCCCACCACATTTTTTTCTTTCAACAGTTGCTTGGACACATGTGCTGTTAGTCGTCCATCCTATTAGTAACACTGCTTCCTTCCTGCACATTCATTGATACTGAAACAATACACCACAGAAAAGGACTTACATGAAAGACAGCTGGAACCGGTTGCCAGGGGAACTGATAATGTTCCAGACACATTCCACATTAGAGGGATAAATGTCTGGGTAGCCAGGGCTGTCGAACCTGCCTTCAGCCATGTAGAAGTTTCCACCACAAGCTAGATGAGAAATAAAATGAGTGTGAGAGCAAGGATGGAAGGGAAGACCATTCAACCACAACATCACCATCACGAGATAAAGAAGAAAGAATGGTGGAGCCATTACCAGCAGAAATCATATGGCTTTGCCATCTCACATTTGAAAAAGCCTTCCACGTCATATACTGCAAGGGAAGTTTTTTGAAAACTGAAATCTAGGAGCCCTTTAGTGCATTGGCTCAGAAAGAATCTCTGCAGTATCTTCCCCCATGAAATCTAACTTTGGGAAATGAAAGACATGTTTTTAGCTTATAGACATTTTTTCAAACCAGGATTATCATCAATGTTGGCCAAGAAAAGAAAGTTCGATTGGTGTTCCAGCTTTTCCTGTTCATGAAAAAACTAGAACAGCCACAATTTTCATGGTGTCCAATGGCTCTTCACTTCTAGTAGTCAACCGTACCCTCTCCTGGGTAGACACACTAGGGCTGGGTGGCCCTGATTTTCCCTCTTCTCCATGCACTGTAGGCATCTTGCCAACCCTGTCCACACCCACTCTGCCTGAGCCTAGCAGAGAGGCCTGGGAGATGAGACTAGCAAGTGAGGGTTTCCATCCCTAAGAGAAATCCCTGGGTTCCATCAGTCAGGGCCTGCTTTAACAAGCATGTTACAAAAGCAGGCATCAAGATACTGACAAGCAAGGCACCTTAGATCCCAGTCTTTAGCTCAAAATACAGCCAGATTTCCAGCCAAGGCTCCAGTCAACTTAGGGTTCTCTACTGTTAGAATTTATAACATGCTAATCTTATGGAGAAGAAGGTCAGGTGAGGCACAAAGGTGATCTCAGGAAACTAGCTTCCAACTTAAGAGAGTAGAAATACCAAATAACACATTAAGGGTGTTGCTTCACAGCCTAGGAGGACCACTTTGCTATTTGCTTCTCACCTGATGATGAGGCAGCATATGTAGCATGGAAACCATGATAAGTCCTTCCAAAATTAGATATGAACCTCAGTGTCAGGGCACTGCCGAAAGATGTGATGGGATGGGGCATGGAGGTACCACAGTAACGTCCTAGACAGTGAAAATATTGACAAAGAGAAGGATCAGCAGCATGGCAGAGGCCGTTACTCCAATCAACACATCTTTACCCGAATAACAAGAGAGCAAAGCAAACAGAAGGAATCACTTCTGGAAGAACTAAGTCAGGGTCAGCATTTGAGACAATGCCCAAGAATTAAAAATAAACAAGAAATGTGAAGTCTTAAAAAAGCAAATGCATTTTGAATTTTTCATGCCCAAAGAAACATACCTTTTCATTATAATTCTGCACAAGCTTAAAAAAAAGATTTATTCCTTTTTATTGGAAAACAAGGTCTACACAGAGAAATAAAGACAGAGAAAGATTTTCCACGTGATGCTTCAGACCAGCTGAGTCGATCTGATCTGAAGCCATGAACCTCTTCCAAGTGTCTCATGCGGGGGCAGCGTTTCAAGGACTTGGGTCCTCCTCCACTGCTTTTCCAGGTCACACACAGGGAGCTGGATCAGAAGTGAAGCAAGCTGGGACACAAACCAGCACCCATATGGGATGTTGATGCTTGGAAGTGGAGGATTAGCTACTTGAGCCATTTTGCGGGTCCCTCTGCCTAAATATTTTGAAATACCTTCCCATACGCATAGGAGGAAAGACCATTTCTCTATGAGATGCAGGTCAGAGGACACACTTAGAGGACCTGGCTGCGTTGTAACTCAGGAAAGATCCTCCAGCAAGCTAGGAAGCAGTGCAAATAAATGTGCTAATACTCAGATACCTTGTGAGCATATACCATAGCAGTGAAAAGGGTAGCTGCTGGAGCCAGAACACCTGGATTTAGCTCTTGGCTGTATTATCTACCACTATTTGACCTGAGCTATTTGCCAGATACTTGACACTTTAGCTCCCTGTGCTTTAGCTGCCTCACTTAGGAAAAGGGGGCAAAGCAAATACTAAAATCTACTCTACATTACAAGAGTGTGATAATTAATTGAGTTACTAGTTATAAGGTATTCAGAATATTACTCAGCACAAAGTGGTGCTGTGTAAGTTTTTGCTAAGTAATATGCCTCAGCTTTGGTCAAATGCTTATCAGCAAAGAACTGACAACACAAGAGAGTAAAGAGCACAGAGTGCATTCACTGATGGTTCACTATTGTCTCGGGCGCTGTGCCAGGCCTGGAAATAAAGCAATAAGCCATACAAAGGCTCTTGCCTGGCAGGGCTTGTCTTCCAGGGAGAGGCTAAAAAGCTTGTATGACAAAACTCAAAACGTAGTGAGCCCATACAGAAAATTTAAATCACATGAAATTATTTTGCTTGAGAACATTTCAGAAACGATATCACAGCATTCTTTAATGTTTTAAAGATTTTTTTCTTTATATGAAAGACAGAGTGACAGAGGTGGCAGAGGGAAAGATCTTACATCTGTTGTTTCACTCTTGAAAGTGTCTTGTGGCTGCAGAGTGGCCAGGCTAAGGCCAGGAGCCAGGAACTCCATCTGGGTCTCCCACATGATAGCATGGACCTACTTAAGCCATCACCTGATGCTTTAACTGGTGTATCAGCAGGAAGGTAGGTCAGAAGTTCAATAGTAGGGATGTGAGCTGACACTCACATGGGGTTCCAGCATCTTAGGTGGTGGTTCAACCTGATGCACCACAGTACTGGCCTCCCAGCATTCATTAATTGCCTTAAGATAAATAACAGGTAAAATGACAGCTTTTAAATTTAAGTAATATTTTTTTATTTCTACCAAATGACAAAGCTGGGAAGAAATAAGTCCAATTGTATTATAACAATTGTGCAAATGCTATCTAATATAGAAATGGTCCATATTGCACTATTATCAAAGTCAACTGCAACTACAAAAAAAAAAAAACCACAAGCTGCTCATGTCTTTGCATACAAAGAAGCTTCCTTCTTAAACATCCACATTAAATCCTGCTTTCTTAGCCTGTAATTATTCTTACTGGCTTACGCTGTGTTTCTTAGTTATTAGAGATATTCTAACATTCAATGCGCACATATAAATCTGAAGGCATCTAAGCAAAACAGTCAAGGCCACACACACAGCGAATGAACTGCACAGTACCTCGGAGCGGTGCATCATCAGAGCTGCCATCCAAAATTTCTAAAAAGTCGCGTGTACATCCTGCACTGTTTTCAATTGCAAAGTTGGTGAAGGACAAGGTAATATGATTGACTGTAAGGACAAAAAGAGGAGACTATTTAATAAAATACCAATAGACACAATACACAGGGAGAGAGAGCTGACCTCCAACTATCTCCTCAGAGAGATCTCCAGCAGGGAAGTAAGGCACTTGTGAGATTTACACACTGGCTGAATGGAGCAAGCAAGCGGAGAATACTGGGTCTGAGATCAGGATTTCCTTTAACGATGAAGAGAATGGACAGCTTTGAAAGTGCCTGCCTGTGGAACTTGCAATGGTGGTGGAGGTAACAGGGCTCTTGACGAGGCTCCTTCCAGACATTGTGGGGAATATTTTAATGGAAAATAGTCTTTCCACTGTTGTATGTCAGCTATTGCTGTGCTCCTCTCGGAAACATTTCTCTCAATTAAATAGAATCCTTAAGCTGTGGCTCTTCACCCGTGCCTGTAAATATGTCATCCTTCTCCCATTGGCACACACATTCTGGTACACTCAGTTTTAAAACCAGAGCGAGTGTGCTTATCAAGAAAGCTTTGAATTACTTGCAAAACAGAAAGTGCCTGGGTACATTTTCCTTTTGTTGCTCTTCCAGGGTCCCTAATCTTTAGTAAGGGATCTTTTCCTGTTGCTGTTCCTGAACCAAAGAGAAATCTTTCATCTGCATATCTTACAACTCATTAGAAAATAATCCTAAAGCACAAAACTGTTCAGCTTGAGGCAGGAACTTTTGTATTGCTGGCTCAGTTTCTGGCTGGCTGACAGGTTCCTTTGGGACTCCTCCCTCTTGAATGGCTGACGATTACATCATCAGCCCCCCAATAAATACACCATCTGTGTGTTCACTCCCAATATCTCCAGGAAATTGTTAGGAAACATTTAAGCTAAACTACATTGAGTAGGCTATTTATTTTGTAATGGAATCTGATAGATTTTATTGATCAGCCTGTTTTCATTCAGGTCATTAGGTACAGAACTAAATCGAGAATGTCTTTCTTATAGTAAGCTTAAATTTTAAAAAAAAATTCTACAAAAATGTCAAAGGAGGGCAAGATTCATCAGAAACAGGATTCCTAATGGTGTGGAATCCCCCCCTCGGCAGCCATTCTGTTGCCTTTAGGGATTGGCTCTGTATTTTCTCTGTGAAACATGGATTGTTACCTTGATTACCCAACTGGGGTCAGGTCACAAAACAAGATTCTATGGGCCAGCATTGTGGCATGCGGGTTTAGCTGCCTCTTACCATGCCAGCACTGGATTCGAGTCTGGCTTCTCCACTTCTAATTCAATTCCCTGCAAATATGCCTGGGAATGAAGTGAAATATGGCCCAATTCCTTGGGACCCTGCAGCTATGTGGGGGAAACAGTTGAAACTCCTGGCTCCTGGCTTTGGCATGGCATGGTCCTGGCCATCGTGGCCATCTGGGGAGTAAGCCAGCAGATGTAAAATCTCTTTCTCTCTGTTTCTTCCTCTCTCTATGTAACTCTATTTTTCAAATAAATAAATCTTTTTTAAAAATCTAGGATTTCAAAACATAAATAAAGTAATAATTTACTAAGTATTTCTTCAATACCTGAGGTGGGATTTTTGAAATGCATACATTGCAGGGAAGATCGAGTTTTATAATTCATTTCTATTTTTTTTTTTTTTAAAGATTTATTTTTATTATTTTTTCATTGGAAAGGCAGATATACAGAGAGGAGAGACAGAGAGGAAGATCTTCCGTCCGATGATTCACTCCCCAAGTGAGCGCAACGGGCCGATACTATGCCGATCCGAAGCCAGGAGCCTCTTCCGGGTCTCCCACGCGGGTGCAGGTTCCCAAAGCTTTGGGCCGTCCTCGACTGCTTTCCCAGGCCACAGGCAGGGAGCTGGAAGGGAAGCGGGGCTTCCGGGATTAGAACCGGCGCCCATATGGGATCCCGGGCGTGCAAGGCGAGGACCTTTAGCCACTTGCGCCACCGCGCCGGGCCCAAATTCATTTCTATTTTAAAGATCAACAGGCTCACGGTGTTATTTTGTTAAGTCATGAGGTAACCCTCCAGTCTATGGCCAGTATTATTCATTTATTGACTCAGCAACCATCTTGATCACCTGCTACATTTAAAACGTACATGTAAAAACCTATTTATCAATTATACTTGTTTACCTTCAACGCCACAGGCCTGTTCACAGTGCAAGGTATACAGGTTTATGAGGCTGGGTATTTTCCTTTACTAGGCCTTGAAATTAAAATTTTTTTAAATTAATATGAAACAGTAAAAATTATTTCTTCACCTGACTAGGAAACATTATTCTCAGGTGATTCAAGAATTGGGACACACACAAAGAGAAGGGAAAGGCCACCAGGTGTTGCCACTGAAGAGATAAGAACATGAGTCATACACTGACTTTCCCACAGACACAATCTGTCCTGGTTTCCTTTTCTATTTTATTGTTGTTACTTACATGGAGGTTGAGCTTGAATTATCCAGGTGCAGTTTGCATTGTTTGGATAGTTGGCGGGAAACAATGGAGAGGAAATGGTATCAGAAGATGTGGTGAAGATGTAGCCTCCACAGACTGAGGATACAAAAACACACTCTGTCAAATAACTTTTGATTTCTAGCGACTGTACAAAATGATTTGACAATTTAAAACATAAATGACCCGTTCTTTTTTTTTCTGAAATGAATGCCAAGGAAGACATATTAGCATGGAAAAAATGGTACACAATTACAGGAAGTAAAGAGATAGCATAGAACATCAGATTAAAGGCCAAGAATTGCCTGAGTCATTCAAACAAAACTTCAGCAATGATTTGGACTCTATTCATCTCTCAAAAATTATACACATATGGACAGACTGTTTATAAATGACCTATTTTTTTTTGTGAAAAATAAATACAAAATTTAGCAAGACTTCATAGGGTGCCTGAGTATCATCAGAGATCTGCAAATCTATGAGGGCCTCAAAGAGGGCAAGTTAATTGGCCCAGTCTGAGAGGTACAAGAAGGACTTCCTGGAGGAGGCAGTGGTTGAATGAGGACTTAGAGGTTGAGGAAGAATGGTCCACGAAGTGGGCAGCCTCTGTGAGGACTCAGGTGAGGACCATGTTAAGACAAAAGTGGCTGACTCCTGCAGGACTTGACAGTTTTGGAGGTGATACCGCAAAGAGGCAGGGCAGGTTCGGGAACCCTAGGATAACATCTAGGAGGGCTTGGGCTTGCCTCTCCAGCTGTGTGGAGTTCCACTGGAGACCTCAATGGTCTGCTCAGAGAAGGGATTCTGCAGGATGTCCACTGGTAATGATGGGGCAACATAAGTAAGTTTCAGGAAGCTCTTATCATAGTCCAGATAAGAGCTCATGGAGGCTTTTGCTGTGAAGCAACAGATGAGAGGATAATAAAAGTAACAGAAACTTTCCTTTGAAATCATTAACAGCAACTGCCGGCACATAGCCTGTCTTTCTCCAAGGTCTATAGCACATTTTTGGAAGAAAATGTTCCCCATCCAGGGCTCTTTATTGCAGAATACAAGCAAGTCACTTAAAAAGAGAGACAATGATCAAATGGAACAAACTTATTTCAAGTGAATTATTCGAACAAAAACCATTACTATTCTCAAGCCAGCTAACAATCTTTCCAGTTTAGCATTCTCTCATCCTATGATCAAAGGTTAACGTGTTAATCTTGAGAAGGGCCAGATGGAAAAGTCTTAAAAGGGAAACTAAAGAAGTTGTGACTTAAGACCAAACAAAATGAATGACAACACTGACTCCCCAGGGTCATGGTCAGTGGCAGATTTAGTAATGAAGGACACCTCAGTTTCTGGAAGGTTCTCCTGTGACTCTACTATAAGTAAGTCTTAATGATAAAAAAAAAATGTTTTTGCAAGAATAAAATTGAAAACATCAACAGCTGTCATGACTATGTCAGAGCTCCCTTGTTTTTGGTATATGTGTATGTATGTAAGTAAGTATATATTTAGATATGTAAGTAGAAAGCTCTGCTTAGAGTGGTACCACAAACAATTCTCTAGCACTTCAGAAGACCCACAGGGCACTTGCCTTGCCTGAATTGAGCTCGGAAGCCCCTACTCTGTCTGGCAGAACGAGACTGAAATCTCAGGAAGAGGCTGTTTCCTGAAGAGATGATGGGATTAGTTAGCTGCTGTCTTCCACATGCGTTGGCAAGACGGGTGGTTACATAGTTTTCAACATCATATGCCTACAAAGAAAGGAGACAGGGAAACCGGCTCAGAAATTCAGATTTGCATAAGGCCTCCTAAACCCTAATGTATTTCTTTACTTTTTCTTCGATTTTTATAAGATGAATACATTTTACACATTTCTTAAGTATATTAGACATCGTTTCTGCTCAGTGCTGGGCTGAGACTTATCTGACACTCCCTGTTACGCCAGTGAGTAGAATACATTCTACTTGTAGGTATAAACCTATTTATGCAGAAATAAATATCACAGATACCTGACATCTTTGCACTCGCCTGTGAAACTGAAGCCTAATCATCTGCTTGGAACTTGGTGTGTAGTGTAAATTTTTGAATGCTCCCATGTGTAAATCAACCAGGAATGAACTGTTTTCCTTGGATTGTAAGAATGGCTACCATTCATGATGTTGTCTGCCATGTGCAAGGAGCTGGAGTCAGCCCTTTATATGCATGGGTCCAGTGCTATCTTCCAAATTTCTTTCCACTTGTCTATATGAGAGAAAATGCACAGAATGTACACGATATGGCCAAGTCACACAGTTCCTAATAGGGAAAAGGGAAGCAGGACACGTTGAACTAGACAACTAGAGTCTAGGGTCCAGCATTAAACCTCTTCCATTTTGTTCAGTATAAACTATCAATTGAGCAGTATAAATACATCAACCTACCAACCACCAGAGACTGGAAGCATGAAATTAAAATTAAAATATGACTGTTTCACTTAAATTATTTACAGAGAGAAGGAGAGACAGAGAGAAAGGTCTTCTGTCTGCTTGTTCCCTCCCTAAGTAGCTGCAACAAGCAGAGCAGAGCTGATCCAAAGCCAGGAACCATGAGCTTCCTTCAGGTCTCCCACACGATCAGGACCCCAAGACTTGGGGCCATTCTCCATCGCTTTCCCAGGCCATAAGCAGTGAGTGGAATGGAAAGTGGAGCAACTAGGACATGAACCGGTGCCCATATGGGATTCCATCATTTGCAAGGAGAAGATTTAGCGACTAGACATTGTGGTAGGCCCATAAAATAAATCTTTTTTACAAAAGTAAAAAAAAAATGACATTTTATTGACCAAAGTAAAAAATGCAATTTTTAAAAACTGTTTTTTAAACAGTTATTTTATTTTTATTGGAAAGTCAGATATGCAAAGAAGAGGAGAGACAGAGAGGAAGACAATCTGTCTGTTGATTTACTCCCCATGTGCCTGGAGCTGTGCCAATCCAAAGTCTGGAGCCCAGCGCCTGCTCCAGGTTCCCACACAGGTGCAGGGTTCCAAGGCTTTGGGCCATCCCCAATTGCTTTCCCAGGGTACAAGCAGGTAGCTGGATGGGAAGTGGGGCTACCAGGACTAGAACTGGTGCCCGTATGAGATCCCGGCACTTGCAAGGCAAGGACTTCAGCTGCTAGGCTATCACGCTAGGCCCCCAAATACAATTTTTATTATAAAATGACTTCTTCTGAACATTTTATGTACTTTAACCAGTAGCCAAAACAATAAATTAACCACTATGAAAAAAAAATTCTTATTACATCTATCCTTCAATTTACTCTCAAGCATAACCACCCTTAAATTAATTCAAAACTTTATTACCTTTGTACTTGGTTTTATACCTTATTAAGCTCAACACACAAAAAAAACCTCCTAGGGTTTTATTCATGTTACATGATTCCACCTGAGATTTAATATCAAAGGATAAAGAACATCTTAGAGCATCTGAAGTTAAAGAATTTGGAGGAAATGCCAACTGCCTCTTGAAAAGGCACAAAACTGCTTGGTCCCTTCAAGATGTATTTATTTGTTAGAATAACTCACAAAGGCAAGAAGCAAGACTCTCTGGGCTTATTTTCCCCAAATGCAGAGGTCCAGTAAATAGACTTTACTTCTTTCCATTCTAACTTCTTGCTTTCATTTTGAATGAATGCATCCCTCTTCAGACGAAGAAGGGCAGAAAAGGCAAACGAGAAAGTAGAAATAATCTTTAGAAAGTCGCATGCCTATGAGCTATTTTCCTAAGGGATCCTCTGTAAGGGGCACATCTCCCAGGAAGTCTGCAGGCTTCCCAGTGCTACCATTCCCTAAGGTTCCACAATGACAGAACCCTGGCCTAAATACCTCTGGTTGGGTCATTACATCATGAGGAATGGACTCCAAAAAGGTTCCTAAGTGGCCTCAAATTAGATACCAAAGACACTTCATGCATGATGAGCATGTCACAAACAGTCACAAACACTATAACCAATCCTTACAAACACATGATTATGTGTTTCTTATTGTTTAAAATGAAGGCAGCATGCTAGTAAGCTTTTATTTAATCCATGTGAATAGCAGTCTTTTCCCTACAGATCTCATATTGTACAATGTTACTTCTGTATAAAATGTTTGTGACAAGTTATATCTACTTGGGATTTTATAAAATGTTGGAATTTTACGCTCTCAAAGATGTATGTTCATTTTTTTTTAAATTGCAGTTGTAACAGCAAACCCTCTTAGATCTTTAAAATCAAGTCAATATTTTTGTATCCTAAGTTACAATTTACAAAGTTCAAGAAAAGTACTGCAAGGGAAAAATTTGAGAAACTCTATACTTACTTATTGAAAATCCTGAAGTCATGAAAATTATCATGAAAATTATTATATAGTTGTTCTTACTTCCATTAATTTCCAAAGGAGACCTCACAAATTTTACTACTATTGTACATAGGTATAACATACTCATATAGCTTACATAATTCTTATTGAAGCTACCACTAAGAGCTCTCTGGGCCTGGGATCTGATTTCCCAATCTAGGATCTGTGTGGTAACAGAGCAATATTTATAACAAACAAAACTTGGGAAATCTCAACTAACTCATTTCTAAATTATTATAAGCAAATAAAAGTTTGAAACTAAATACACACATCCAACAAAATGCATTTGCTGTCTCTGGGAGCTCCAGCCATAGCAGCTCTGCAGGAATGCCTATCAGACTCCTCCTTGCTGCCTCATAATCAAACAGAAAATGAGGTGATGTTGTGGAAATTATGATAATTAATATGATGGTAAGTTTTTTCTCATTTCATTAATGCATACATAAATTTATAATGAAATATGACAACATACAGTAAACTCAAAAGCTCAAGTGGTTGCCTACAAAAGTGTAAGAACATGCATCACACAAAGATTGTGATGACAAAATACTGGAAGCAACTTAAATGTTCACTAACGGGAAAATGGGTTACAGGAACAATGGTAAAAAAAGAACACACCCAAATGACTACATCCCAACGAAGAAAAAGGTAAAATAACATACTTTGAGTGAGAGAGCAAAGTGAAGAATATATACTGTGTGACATCATTTACACCCAATTTAAAATATCCAGCCCCTCCTACGACAATACGGTACTTCATAGTGCATGGACACATATGAAAAAATGAGTATCCAGTCATAAAATGTACAACCCAAAATTCTCCTGAGTGGCTTTCTCTGGTAGGGATTTAGGAAAGAGCATCAAGACACATACACACAGGAGTTAATTGAGGATTTTAAAAAATTTATTTGCAAAGTAGAGTTAGCAGAGATAGCATGGAAAAGACAGAGAAAGAGAGAGAGAGAGAGAGAGAGAGAGAGAGAGAGAGAGAGAGAGAGAGAGAGAGAGAAAGGAAATGCCTTCCATCTGCTGGTTCTGGGCCAGGCTGAAAGCAGGAGCCTAGAATTCCACCTAGGTTTCCCAAATGGGTAGCAAGGGCCTACACACTTTAGCCATCTTCTGTTGCCTTCCCAGGGGATACTAGGGATCTGGATCAAAGAGGAACAGCCTGGACATGAAACAGCACTACAATGCCACCTTCAACTGTGGGCTTTAGCAACATATTTTTTTATTAGGGGGAAAAAATGGAACTGTAACAAATGGGGAAAAAAGTTAAAATTTGATAGCCTTAATAGGATATTTTATAATAGACTATGTTTTTCTCTAAATTTAGATATTTCAGAATAAACCTCCCAGTAAAGATTACAGAACCTAGATAAAGTAAGTAGGAAACGTAGACCAACATTGACATACACTCACCACAGCATGACTGCAGTAAGGAAAAAAGAAAAAGGAAGCCAATATTCAGATACTAGATGCAGAAGGCAGGGTATAAAACTACACTATCATCTTAACCCATGTGTATATATTTACATGTATTTGTGCAGGAAATAAAACAAAATTTTAATAGTTTGTATATGTCTTAGAGTACTAAGAATGGCATTAACATCATGTTTCTTCCTTTCTCTATTTTATAAATTTAGATAACATGTGCATTTTAAAACTTCTAAGTGCCTTAGCCATTCAAGCATGTAAAGTAATCCTATGAAGACAGCACTGCAGTATCAAGGCTGGTGCACATGACGGCCAGTTAATCTAGCTTCTTGCTGCCTACCAGCTGTGCGTCAAGTTTCATGGATGTGGCATCTGTTTCAAGAGCTCTGCAGCATTTGTTAGTTGACTAATACTATCACCCACCCAAACCCTCCCTCCAAGCTCCAGGCTGACATAGCCAACTGCACACCAGACAGCTCCCTTCTACTTCCCACGGACTATGAAAATCAGCATCTCAAACTGATTTCATTCTCTAAGTCCTTCATTGCATCTTTGCCTGCTCGTCTAGCCTTGGGAAATGCCAGAAGAATGTACCTAGCTGTAAAACTACTTCAGATCTCCCCCTTATCCTCAAACCAACACCTTACAATATTCTGTCAATTCTCTTTCCGAAAAATCTTGCAGCTGCTTCCTTTCATCTCACCCTTTCCTGTGCAAATGCCCTGTAGGACCCCATTCATCCTTCCCACATCACTACAACAGACTAAAGATCCCTCTGCCTTCACTTCAGTCTCCAAACAACAGCTAGTACCTTGGGCTCCTTCTAAGATGTAAAATTCAATATAAAAGGAAAATGGGATATCTCCAAACATTTTAACATTGCAGGAAATCAGGACAATCATTGACAAACGCTTGGTTGAGCAAAAAGAGCGTGTAATT